GAAATCAATATTTTGTAGGCAACTTATAACGCAATCATTTCAATGACAAAACAGCTGATCCATCAACGTATCAATAAGTACTAAGGAATGGAAATTTGACAGTGATAAAGCACTCTGTGAGTGGCACGTTATACTATGATCTTTTAAAATTAAAAAAAGACCATCCCTGTGAAGCCAATTTAAACTTAACTAACATGTTTAGGATTGGCTTCTGAAGTTTTCGAAAATTTTAGAAATACTGTAACTGAAAACCAATACTTAGTTTCAATATTCCCTTCCTCTCAAAATTCTCTTTCGTTCAACGCCATAATCATGGAAATCCGTCAAGTGGTTGATTCAGAATCTGAGAATAAAAAACCCCACCTACGTTTCATTAGGAATATGATGAAACTAATCTATAGAACCTAATGGTTTTCTTTTGTTTTATATCCCCCAATCAGGGCACTGAGTTAATTGCCTCATACTTGACCACGGACGCTGTGGTGGATGTTTTGGACAGTTACCTAACTTTAAATCTCTCGACCCTTGTTGAACTATTAAAACAAGAGGACTCAGTAATTGCTTGGCCCAATTGAATTATCGAGTCCTCCTTTGCATGACACAAATCAAGCGGATAGCAAACCCCGTGAAACTACTTAACTTAATGTTAAAGCTATTATAAAGTTAGAAATAACTGAATTTAAAATGTTAAGTAATCATGTTGAAACGTTTAAGGCACATATCATCTACATATATATATATATATATATATATATATATATATATATATATATATAATTCAAATTCTTATCATTTCAAATTTCAAATTAGTGAGTAAAGTGGTGTATGGATTTCATAACCATTATTTTACTAGAGACCGTTGTATTTAACCACAACGGGCTCTGTTGCTAGTAATACTATAATACAATATTGTTTTCACGGCCAATGATTTCAAAAGCGGTTCAAGCGATTCACTGTCAAAATCGTTATAAATATCTTAGTTTTCGGCTAAAAACAACATGCATGCTACGCTCTGTTCAGTAAAAATTAGTTTCTCGTTAAAACACTTTAAAATTAAATTTTAATATTTTTAACATTGACCTTATAAGTTGCCAAGTAGATAGTTTTACGAAAGTACCGGTATAAACAAAAGATTATACCATGGCAAACCCTCTACAGTAGGCTTTACTAGCAACAGTACAAAAGAGTCATTAGATTAAATACCATAATATTGATCTTATAAAATAATACACTGGATTAAATTATTAGTGAACAAAAGGATAAATACGACTGATGAAAAACGTCTTTTACAGTAAAATATTTTTTGTCATGATTTAGTGTTATGTCATCTTATCTGCACCCTGCACGTAAAAGATAGGCTGTCTATTAGGTTTTAATAACACCAATGTACCTGTGACAGCATCTACTGATCTATGTTTTGTCAATTTATTAATTTTATTTTAAGGTTATAGTTTTTCATGTTGTTAATACTTGAGCATGCCTACTTACTGTCATGGATTCGTTTTTAGCGTATTTCCCATAGGGAATAAGCTATTACCGTAGTAGCCTAATCATGGCAAGACCTGGACCCGGTACCGATTTACTTTTTCAGCATTACATAACATAATCACATAGTCTTGTGCAGTTATCAGTAACAAAAATTATTGAATTCGAACTGTAAGGGTTAATTTCTAGGCTATCACTAGCTGGAACTGAACCGCCCTGTTTGAGGAAAAGTATGTGACCAAACCAGAGGTTTTAAACTTAAGGCCCGTTTTGCCAGAAGCGTCTGGTGCGTCTGACGCTCAGCGATGATCGCTAGAGCAATAATCGCTCAGCGTCTATCGCTCGGGCCTATTTTGCCAGAAGCGTCTGTTCCTTGCGATTATTTGATCAGTAAGTGGTTTACTTTGGTGGCAAAAGGAGTGTTTCTGAAAATGACCTATAAAAAGCAAATAGTAAAGTATTTGTTAGCTGAGGAATTCGACGATGATGAGATATTAGAAATGTTGTGCAAACCAAACCTAGGAAAGAAGTGCGTACTATGTTTTTAAAGAGGCCTGAAGAAAGATATTTTAAATTGTTAATTGAAAATCAGTTAACGATTGACTTAACAGTCGTGTGCTGAAATGGATTCAATCAGTTTTTCATCTTCTTCACTATTGAATCCCCACTTTGTTTGTGACATGTCACTAAACTTGAAAACACAACTTATTTAAAGAAACAAAAGTTAAGTCAACAACTAAACACGTGCTTATTCCAGTAATAATCGCTAGCGACTGCGTCTCCGTCTGCTCCAGGAGCAGTGGTCCGCGTCAGACGCTTGCGTCTCAGTTACAGACGCTGGCGGCTATAGCGATAGACGCTTCTGGCAAAATAGACTTAACTAAAACAATGCAAAGCAGTGGGCAGCGATTGACGCAGAGCGATAGACGCTGAGCGTCAGACGCACGAGACGCTTCTGGCAAAACGGGCCTTTAAAATGTAAATTCAGATCTCCGAAAAGGCCTAAAATGACAAACTGTATCTGTGTTTTTTACTCCCCTTCAATACGAAACAACTTCTCGCCAATCTAATTACCTCAATATTCATCCCTCCATAAATGTCTTCAGTTATAATTGTAGGTAAAAATAATTATGAAGCTCGATAGTGATGGTCAATACTAATATAATATATGAACCTGATGACTTCGTTCAATGTTGTGGATGCCTCTGCAAACGCCACCTGAGTTTAGAATTATGTTAGAAACAATGTTTATTGTTTGTAATCTAAAATGGAGGTTGTATTTCCATTTTTTTTTTTTTTTTTACTTAATAAAAAAGGTTATTTTTTTAAATTTCTATAAAAAATTAATCAAAAATGTACTTTGGTCTACTTTTGATTTTTACAAAATTAATAAACGTTGATAGACTAACATTCAAATTGGCATGGTCTATGATTGAAAAATTACTTTAATAAATCAAAAGTATAGGATAGTAGTTTGGTAGGGAGTATGTGGATTGGTAAAGCATGTTGTATGATGTCAGACATATTTTGTATACCAAATACCTGCATATTTTAACACATGACTCCACACTGTACAAAACAGCTTTCCGATTTAATTACATTCCTGTGGAGAGAAACACAATGCCATATGAGTAATAATTGGTACATCATGTCTTCTCTGAGCTTATTAGTGAATGTGGTTTTCATGGTTGTGGCTGGCGAATGTCACTAATTAATTTGCTAATTAACTAATTCAGGTGCAAGGTACGGTAAGCAATTGAGCATACACTTTTATAAAACAAATAACAAAAAAGAAAATTCAAAATTAGTAGAAAGCAAATAGCATGTAGGGTAAATATAAATAAAAAAATATGTTGTAGGGGCTTTCTTTTTTTATGATTTATCCAACAGTTTAAATTCAAACAAATAAAAATTTGGAACAAAACTATGCATACCTAAAGAAAAGAAAAATGTTTAAAACTTTAATGAGTATAACTTATTATTTATTTTCACCAGTCGAAAGGAATGTAGATAAACATATTTAGACTTGCACATTAACAATGATAAATTTAAAACTCAGTAGTTAAACTTTCATACATAACACACGGACCCCAATACTGGAACCCAACTGGGGACCTGAAAGAAAAGTTTAAAATTCATTGCTGATACATGATTAAATTTAAACCCAAAAAGACAACAACTACTAATTGTACCTTATGATAAAGATGTTCAAGGTTTGTTTGAATAGCAATTAAGACAATGCTACGATTCAAAACCAAAATTTTGTAAAACAAATAGAATATTTATTTGTTGCTTGCATAAGTTTAACATCAATAAAATTATAATACTTCAATAATATCAGCCTTATGATATTACATTACAAATATTACAATTAATTATATAAACTATATTCCCACTTAATTGCAAATGTTTAAGATATGTTTATTATTGCAAGTTCAACTAAAGATAGGATTTTATAAGCCCAAACTAATGTGGATAGTAATGAATAACTTAGGTCAAAACTGAGCAAATTGCCGCAAGAAAGCATACCTATTCAAAAAGGAACAATGTTTTCCTTTAAACCATAAAGAGCAAAGTGCAAATGTGTCAATTGCCAATAAAATTAAAAGTTTTTGCAATGTGAAAAGATTGGTATTATCTAGATAAATTGGTCTATTAAATTAGGTAGGATTTAATTCAAAATAATATTAACAAAGATGAAAACTAGTTTGGATTACAATAAAATAAATTGAAGTAAAAATTGAAATGGTACGTATTTAATGGCTTAGATTTAAAATACCACATATTAATTGGTGTTAAATAATAATATTATTTAATGCTAATTAATAATCGAAATTTAGGTCTAGGCCTAATATTATCATGTTTGGAGCAAATAATAAACATAGCCTAGTTTTAATGCGGGATAAACCAATTTGTTATATTATTTTACCATCAATAAGCTTTATTCCTATTTGTTATAAAAAAAAACTTCTACTTAAGGAGGAACGATTGCACTTGGTATTTGCATAACGTATTGACAATAATGAATTGTTTTATCATATGACTAAGCCTAGATGCAAAAATACTCTCTTTTAATTTTCTCAGAGGCCGAGGCCTGTTAACTATAAGCACAGAGCATAGAATAAATATAGAGTCGCCACTCCTTATACCAACAGCTATACCAGTAGTGAAGCCGATTTCCGCCATCTTGGTGAGAGAGTCCGGCTCGGAACACAGCCGAGACCACTCCGTTTTTAGAAAGCACTGTGTCATTCTATCACCACTGTGTTATTCTATGCTACTTTATAAAAATTAGATAAAGCTACCGCTCCGAGGATACATATAGAACTATCACCCCTTCGATATTGACCTAGGACCTTTCAAAGTTCTGAGGTGAGATATTTAAAAGTAAACTAGTGTACCTGTTGCTCAAATTCGAGCAATTGCTAAGTATTACAGGTGTTGTTTTAAAACGAATAACAGTCATAATTTAAGTAATTATTTTTTTCAAATATGACTTTAAAAGGTTCGACTCAAAGATCATGGAAATACTCAAGATGTACATAACAGATCGATATAATCAACATTTCTTGTAAATAGCCTAGTGTTTTCTTCATAGCCGCATAAGGTTGTCCATAATAACAATTATACATTCTTAAAAAAAACATTTCTATTTCTTCTCCTTGGTGGTGTTCTATGACGTTCCTATGTTTCCATAGTTTGCAAATCGGCTCTTTCAATGATTACTAAGAAATGCAGCACAGTGTTAATTCAGTTTTATTTTAAGTATATAAAATTATCTAGGCTCTCTTGCTTTTTTCCATTGTAATATTTACACCAACCCAAATTCAAATAGTAAATATTTCATTTCAACCAAGTCAGTAAATGTTTGTAGCAAACTTCTCGTTCCCACCACCACCCCTGGCTTAAGTCTGGGACTTATTTGCCAGGCCAATTCCCCGTGAAAATCTTCTTTCTTTTTAGGCTTCAGCCACTTTCAATCCTAATCCAGACACATTATGTTTCCAAAAGCCTAACAGCACGACTCCCTTCCCCATACCGCCCTGAGCGATAGGGATCATTGATATTCGCTCTAACCTTTCCTGTCCCCTTCATGGGCAAGTTTTCATTCCTTTTCTGTCTCAGTTTTTGTTTATTTCTCTTTTTAAATTTAAAAGCCTGTATGTATCCCTGGTTTTTCCTATTTCCCTAACTACTTTTGTAAACGTCTCAATTGTTTCCTTGTCACTCATCATGTTTTATTTTCTCATCTCTAGACATCTCTTATCCAAGACTTATTCCTGTTCTCTCCTATTTGTCTCCCGAAGTGAACAATCTATAAATACGTGACTCGTGGCTTTTATTTCTCCACATCTACATACTTCCTCTTCCACCAGGTGAAATCGCCACAAATTTGCCTTGAAATTTTCCATGTCCTGTGACAAACTGCGTTTCATAATGGCCCATCTCCCAATCTTGTTCCAGTCTCTTTCTGATGTTAGGTATATAGCCGAACGTTTACCTTTTAAACATTAACATAAAACACTCTGCACCCAACGCATTTGCTACTCATCTAATATCTCCTCTCATCTTGTTTCCGATGTAGTCCTACCGGCCTCCTTGTCTTCCAAAATCAACAGCTTATGCAGCGATTATCCAGCAGTCCTAAATTGAATGTGAAATCTTCAGGTGGCTGTTGGAGAGCACACTTAAACCCAACATGGAAGGGTGCTAGCTGTATTCGGCTATTAACAACAACAGTATTATTTGTATTTCGTTAAAGTTCGTCGGCCTCCTCCTATTGGCCTTCCTGGTCGACGTCTTATAGTCTCCATTATGTCGAACATTTTTTTGTTATGTTTTGATTTTGTGCAAATAAAAACTGGTTTAAAACAGTGAAACATCAATCTTTTCAACTAATAATAAATCCTTATAGCACATGTCTCATATTTTAGTATAACCAGGTGTTTCAAATATTAGTGTCAATTTCAAAGTATTCATATGTTCGAATGTGAACAAACATTTTCTCCCTCAGAATAACATGGGATCTTTGAAGGCCACTGGGGCAGAGCCGATGGAATTCCAAAGTTATTTTGTTTGATGGCAAAACTACATGCTAAGACCTTTCTAACGATACCTTGGACATGGTGATCAGTAGCACCACCGCTCCAAAACAATTATGACAAAAATATGCCTAGCATATTAAATATATAGATGCAGACCGGGGCGGCCCCCATCTTGTTGCGAAAAACCTGCTTCACTCCAGATGGCAAGTGCCGCCTTTATATTTATTCTATGCTCTGTGATTTAGTTACAAGTTGTAACTTGTAATTTCTATTAATTTTTCATTGGGTGATCAGCTGATTTACTAATATTAGTTTGTAGTTTTTATGAAACAGGCCCCTGAAAATGATTACAATGATATAATATAGGGCACCCAGCTGATATACTATGTTTACATGGGCAAAATAAAAACTACCTACTTTATTGCTAATCTTATAGACTAATTGGACATGTGAGTATTCATAAAAACGTATCCAAACCAACTGTTCCGTTATTTAAAGAATAACAATTTAGAATTTTAATGACTGACTGGTTAATGAACTCGCCTTCAAACAAAACCACTGACTGCTGGTTCGATCTTAAAATGATCTAATTTGCTCTTTGTCAAAATATTTAATGTGACAGCACTCAAAAGAAGGAATCAAAGTTTTCTTTGTTGAAACAACTTTACAATAGCAACATGATGAAATTTTGTCCCCATCACTAAGGCACCTCTCAAAACACATTTAGCACTTCCTAAAAAACCTACTATAATTATTTAATTCTGATCTGTGTGTTAGAGTTAAGCCGGGTTTTCCTAGACGCGGAAGAGGAGTGCGGAGAGCGGAGGGCGATTAACATGGTATTCTGTTCCACTTCTAGGAAAACAGTAACATTAAATTACCTAAGACAAGAGGAGTCCGCTCTCTGCACTCCTCTCTTCGCGCTCCGCTCCCGCGCCTAGGAGGACTGGGCTTTAGATTTTCACAACACCTTCATGCACAAAACAGGCAACCCAACATACATATATTTTATTTGATTGTAAACCTCTAGTTACAAAAACTATAAGGATTTTCCTATTAGATTACAGGTAGGATATTAAGTAGTCTTTAGCAATCTTTGGCTTTTTATACAGCCCGTTGGGCAACGCACCAAAATGTATCGCCCCTTTCCAGTGCCAAATGATGTCAGGTCGTTTGACGGACATCGGGCGGAAGTAGCAGATTAAGCCACTAGCCAAGTAGTTCACATACACATTGTTCACAAAGTTGTTGAAATGGACCTGATTAATTATTATTTACCTATTTTTTTAACACTAATACCGAAACCCTATCCAGGCTGACGCTAACCGAAACTCCCATTTGAAAATAATGGACCCCGCTTAGAAACACACAAACCAAAACCATGGGTTTTGATCCCGCTTTAAAATACACTAACGCTGGGCTTCTGAGACGGGCAAGTTATGAACAACCTGTCAAGGTCACGGCACCCACGCAAAATGAACAAAAAATATATCAACAGGTAGGGGAGGTATTGAGGGACTGGAATCCCCCAAGTAAACAGTTTTGCCAACATGTGTTTTTAAAAATTCCCGTGGGCCTGTCAGACCAGTGTTTTGGTATAAGTGTAAAGGAAACAAAGGAAGAAGAGGAGGTAGTTAGTTCACTCTATCAATGCTGTACAGCCTTTGAGGAGAGCTTTCTATACTTCGAGTTGTGAAACATGATGAAAAGTTGCACAACTACTTTCGTATGAAAGTGGCACCTTTTAATGAAGTACGGTAAATGTTAAGGTGCAAAACATACTTGGTTATAGACAACAGCTTCTTGAAGGTCTTTATTTTTTCAACCTGAAGAAATAAATAGCAGTGACATTAAAGTCAGTACCACATTACAATTGATTGAGCAGAGTGGACACTTGCCCGCCAGAAAGTGCACCAAACTACGCTGTTTATAAATGGCTTCAATGAATTTTAAGGCTATCCCCCAGCGAATGAAAGCTATGGCGTTGTGTTTTAGAGTATGTACATCAAGCTGTCATCGAACATTGTGTTTACAAACTCTCATTCAATGCAATGTACAATGCCCGAAGCGCCGTAAAAAAGGGGCCTTAAGGCAGGTTAGACACTGTTAGACACTGTGTTGTGTATTACCTCACATGTCAAGTCATATGGAATTGAAGGTAACATGAATGTCTTTTGAATGGAGTTTGTAAGCTTTTATTTGGTAATTTACTGGTTGGTTTTATGAGTGAAATGTCTCAGATGCAAAACAAGTCATAGACGCAATGTGTGTACACAACCAATGTGTAACCCGCCTAGAAGATGCATTGCCTGGAAATGTCTACACCACCTTCCATACTTCCTTAAGCTTAAGCTACTATTTTTTGTGATCAACCGAATACACTTTTATTGTGCTGATAATTTTTTTGAAATGGAAATGCAATACATTAAATAATACTGAATTAATATTAAAATTAAAATTTGATCATTTTTTAATTATTTGGATAGGCTAAATGACACAAATTTTACAACAATAACACAACACTATGAGGGACGCACAACTAACAATGTCGAATTTTTATATAAAATGTTTAGAGAGACTGTATAGAGTTTTCTCTGATCAATAACTAAGTTCTAGTAACTTAAATAAGACAAATTATCACAAATATAATACTCAAGTGTTTAAAAACTAATATGATTACAATAAAGTTATGTATATTTTTACTATAAAATAAATATAATACAGTCACATAACAAAGTTAAGGCTTATTAAACAAATCAAAGGGAGCTTTTTCAATCTGTCTCCCTTTTAGCGAATTTTTTTTATACTTTCCAGCAATGTTAACAATCATAATAAATGCAACATTTCAAACCGTGCCTTTGAGGCTTAAAGGAATTGTTTCTCTTACTCAAATTATTCTGCGATGGGTTCAGCACTAGCACTAGTGCTAGAAGTATTCAAGCTTAAATCTTTTGTCATGTGAGGCAGTTTGATGCTCCCGCGCTTAGGTTTCCAGGATATGTCAATTGGCTCTTCTCCGTCACTATCAAGCTGAGGAGGGACCACAAGGGGAGGTTTTGGAATAGATTCCAGGTCCTTGGAACTCTGTTTTTCTTTGGGCCTTGCACCTTTGTGTTCTCTTTTTCTCCTTCTAACTCCTTTTTTCCCTTCTTCGTCACTACTGCCATCTGTGTTCAACTCTTCGCCCGATATCCACTGCTCCTCATCATCCTAAAGAACAAAGCAATAGGTAATTTTATTTGTGATACATGTCAAAGAATGAGCTTAACCAACCTGTAATGAAAATATTTAATTTATGTTATAATACATTTGGTATCACTGGTAGCATGAATTACTGGTAATTGCATGAGTAACATTGCTTTAAATATGAAGAATGTGAGAAAAACCTTCTGGTGCTCAGTGGTGATAGCTGGCTATGAAATAATCAAGGACATGCTAGTATCACTCCGAATAAATAGCTTCCAGGGCTTGATTAAATGACTGGACAACATTTTCACGTTACATGAAAGGCAGAAGCGTCACCTTGGTTAAGAACAAAAAACCTGTTCTAACAGATATCCCAGGGATATGTCTAAAATACACTTAACAGTCACATATACAGGATGAGTTTTAAATGAGTTCCCACTACTTTTTTAAAAATTTCTTAATATATTAACTCCGGACCACGTCAGATCATTGTAGAGTAGAAAGTACTTTATTTTTACTGTGTACAAATTTTTGGCCGCCATCTTGAATCCGCCATTTTGGATACGAAAAATTATTTTCAAATGTAAAGGTGGGGTTGTGACGCTCGTTTCAAACTAGATTTTTACGCTGAATACAATGGTGCAATCGGTTTTTCAAAATCATAATCTGTTAAACAGTTATTACACATTTTTTTAATAGTTTTTGTATCTATCTATATATTAATAGGCAAGCATGTTTCTTTAAAACCTTTTTTCTCAGCTCGTGTGCATCGCAGGGAAAATCTACGCATACTGTTGGAAAGATATTTTCCTGTAGATGTGCAGAATGCCTTTAAAAGTTAAAATAGGCTAACAAATAAGCACAAAAAATTAATTTGAAAACTTCAAAAAATTAACATGGACCATATGGGTTGCCATGATGGTGACGAAATAACAACAAAATGTAAACAGAAAATCAAAACAAATGGAAGAAATTCCAATCACATGTTTTATTTACAGCGTGGGGAGAAAATAGAGAAGTCTGTACATTAATTATTTTTGGTCGAGTTTCGACCACAGGGCGATCACTAGTACATTTTATTGGCCGAAAATTAATAATTTGTTAAAATGAAGTCAATTTGACCTTACAATAATCAGAGTCCTAACTCTTAATCTTCATTTTTTTCTAGCAAATTTAGGATATTAGGGGTGAATTATAACATTGCGTCATATACAAAGCAACAAAGGTATACATATTTACATTTGTAGTTGAAGTTAAAGTAATATATTATTGTTATTTATTCTAATAGTTTATTTATTAATTGCTACTGTTGAATTTTACAGTCATTTGTGTCTTTGTTGTCTCTTTTTTTTTATTAATTGCTCAAGAGACAATTAAGGACTTATAAAACTGCATGCTACTGACTCAAACTGACAAAACTATGGTAAATAAGAAATAATATTTTTAGTGCAGACAAAACATTTGTGGTTTTTGCACTTTTGTAACCATATATTGGTAATTATTGTGTAAATTTCTTGATTGTTTGGAAAAAAATACAAAATTGGCCCTGAAAGACACAAAACACAAAGCATTGTTGTATTGTCATATATTAGATCTAAAGTTGTTTGATAATTCATCATTAATGGCAGTAAAGGCTGTTTTGTCATTCGACTTACCCAGTTCAATGAGAACATCCCCGTCCCGGGTTCGTCTAATCGACTGTACAACCGTATCGGTCTGCTCTGGCTTAGCCTTGGCCCTAATTGCACCCAAGACCTCGGTGAAAGATCTCCCCCCTGAGGGTTTGACCAGGAATGCCTCCGTCCTGGGCTTTTTTAGCCGGGACTTTTTCGGAGCAGAGACCGAGCCGGGCCCAGTTTGGGCCACGCCGGTCGGCTGTGCCTTCACTGCCACATTCTTTATAGAGGCGACCTCCGCCCGCCTCGATTGCCTCTTCTCCTTTCAGGAACGGTGTTTTTCCCACGCAGCCCCAGGTGTCTCTACAACTGACCCCTTTTGAGAACTTCCCTGAAGGAGGGTCTGTGGCTGTTGGTTCTTCACAGGAGCTGCAGCTATGTCCGAAAAGGATCTGGGCACAGCAGGCAATAGGTCCATCTGAGTCGCCTTGGCCTTTACCGTGGTCCTTTTGGTCTGGACGTCTTCTTCTCTTTTTTGAGGACTGTCTGATGTGGAAGGCCTCTTACGTTTCTTAGAAGGCAGTGTTCTTTCGTCGAACAGAGACACAACCTTCTCGGCAATCTTCTCCATGGCCGCCTTGCTCACCACCCGGCAGGCAAAAACGAAGCCAAGGTCATCCTCCAGTTTGGCCATGCCGTTTTTGACCACTTGATTTATGGCTTTATGGGTCCGGAAGGTGTCCATCATAGCCTTGATCGTAGCTTCCATGTCTTGTAGCCGGGTTTCAATATCACTCTCTGCGTCAAGATATTCCTGACGTAGAAGCACCATCTCAGAGCTATCCGACCTCAACGGTGCTGTGAAAGGCTCCTCTGGCACCCCTACAGCAGAACTGATCGCCAGGGGAGTTGCAGCTCGACACCTGCATCTCCGACGTTTTCCGCACCGTTCCCAGCTCCACTTGCTGAAGGAGATCCTAAATGGGGGAACTCCTTGGTGCATTTGAAGGTAGCAGGTGGGGGAGATGTCCTCTTGTTTTTCGGTGGTGGCGACCTCTGAACCTTGGAGGTACAAAAGCGTTCCGCTCCACTTCCAACGTCTTTTCTGGCTCATTTGAGCTCTTGATCAAAAATGTGTTTTGGGGGGTTTTATTTAAAGCCATCGTGTTTATTCCAGCGCATTGTGCGGCAAGGGGCGGCCCGGAATCAGTCAGGAACGGGTATACCCTCAGGGACGAAAACCCCTACCCCAGTTCCCCGGGGCCTGAACTCCGTTCGCCCAGCACCGGATACCTGACGTGCCATGAGTCGCCCATAGCAATGCAGAGCCCGACCTCTACATCCATGCCGCACTCCCTGACCACGGCCCGAAGTGGCTGGCTTCTCACGACCGACTGAGAATACCCATCGGCAGTGCAGAGCACACATCAACCCCTGCAACACAACAGGGGCACTCCCAGGGACTCCCAGTGAGAACGTCAGTCACCCTTTTAGTCGCCTCTTTTGACAAGCCCGAGAAGGCTGCGGTGCTATTCTAACCCGGTACCGCACGGGGAATCGACATTATATAAAAACAAGCTGCTATACCCGTGCTTTGCAACGGTGAAACGGAAGAAAATGTGACCTAGAGAGCTATTGAAGTGGTGCTGATGTGTGTTTTAAAATACAGCAACTCTATGATTTAGTTTGAAAATATAAACTGATTTAAAAGCGTAAACCTACTTACTTTTAAACCCCTACTTTTGATGTAAATAGATCCATAAGAATATGACAACAAACCTTAGTGCAGCAATAGCATTGATTGCTTCATGTTGATGCTTCATGAATGACATGTTTTACCATCTATATATTAATTTGAAACTGTTTTTCTTTGTCACAGCTATTTTGAGAGAACGGCTGGGCATAGAAACTCGGTAGAGGTGTCTAAAGAAAGGTCTTGGTCTGTAGATGAGCCATCAAAAGAGAAACATGGTGAATTCCCTTGGGGCTCTGCCCCCGTGGCCTTTAAATTCCCATCCCATGTTATTCTTATGGAGGGAAACGGAGTTTTTGTCACAGCTAATTTGAGAGAACGACTGGGCGTAGAAACTTGGTAGGGGTCTCTAAAGAAAGGTCTTGGTCTGTAGATGAGCCATCAAAAAAGGAAAGAGGTAAATTCCCTTGGGGCCCTGCCCCAGAAGCCTTTAAAGTTGCCTCTTCAGATTTGTTTACATTACGACCATATGCATAATTCTACACTACCTTTTAATGCAACAGCTGTTAATATTTAAATTGTGATTTATTGAATTTGTCAAAATAAAGTAGCCTACAGTATTTGCAATGGATTTTTCTGATTTTAAAATGCATTTTCTTCTGCATCGTGTCATGTTTTGCAATATAATGTTCTATTACCAAATCAGTGGAAAATCCTATTATCACAGTAACTCTTAAAATTATTTCTTTTGGAGTTAACTTATATCTATTGTATGGGTTGGTTTCTGCCTTTTTTACCACTTCTTGGAGATTGTACGTAGGTGATATTCGTTGGCATATTGCATCTGTAGATGAGACTTGGGTTGGTGTAATTATTAGAATGGAAAAGAGTGAGAAATCCTGGACAATTTGATATAGGCTAAAAATAAAACTGAATTAACACTGTTCTACATTTCTTGAGCAATCATTGAAATAACCAATTTGCAAACAATGGAAGCATAGAAAAAGTCATAGAACACAACCAAGTAGAAGAAATAGAAATAATGTTTTTTTTCTTTTACAATTGTTATCATAGACAACCTAATGCGGCTATAAGAGGGAAAAATTTGTAGAAAACACTAAAAAAACAAGATCAGCTTTTTGAAAAAAGATAAGATATTTACAAAAGATTTTGATTATATCTAACTGTTGTGTAGATTGTGAGTATTTCCATAATCTTTGAGTTGCCTGTAATGCAATTGCTCGAATTCGAGCAACAGGTACACTAGTAATTCTTCAATTTTAGTCAAACCTCTCCACATGTAGCTTACTATATAAATTAAAAAATGAAACTTTGAGCAATACTTTACAAAACCTATACAACCTAACTTTAAAACTAAACATAACCCTCCTTAATCTACATAAAGCGTCACAAACATATTTTTCGAGTAAATAAACAAACACCAGTTCATTGTACTGACCAGCTGTTTCATTAACTAAATTAAATTAAATCATTTAAACATTGGAAGCATGCCAGGCGTAGCCCTTTGAAATTCAGCCTGTGGGGCAGGGCCCTTAGGAAATTTGTTCATATCAATACTTTTCGGCAAATCTACACACTCTAAGCTTCATTTTGATGTGCCATATGCCTACAATTTTTATTGGTAAATGACCTTAACCGTTTACATAAAATTTGATTGTATCACTTTAATAATATAACAAGAGGTTCTACCCGCGAATTCACGGGTGTACAGAAGCCTAAATTAATTTAATTAACTTTGACTTTCCCTATTTCATTTTTAAGGGCCCAAGTTCGAGAAATTGTCATCTGAAAATATGAAGTCAGTGGAACCTTCATACCTTACGTCTAAGGTGGCCGAAGTGGGTACGGTTGTACCTGAACTCTCCGCTCTCTTTAACAACGTCTTTAATACTTTAATACTTTACTTAAATACTTTTCAATGAAATGGCGACTTGTTAAAGATCGGTGACAACCTCTTAGAACGAACAGCATACATGGTTTGTTAATCTCATATTCATTGTGTTTCGAACACCTTTAATCACTCACTTGTATCAAACAGCTAGAAATAGCTTCACTGTCCATTCACCGCACCTCTTTTAAGAACATAAAAGTAAATAATAAAATAAGTAAACAAAAATGTAAACAAACAAACTATACTGTCAATTTCATTGGCCATCAGCTGTTCACTAAATTAATCGAATAACGTTAACTTCCAAAAACATGCAAGGCGTAGTAGCCCTTTGGAAATCAGCCTGTGGGGCAGAGCCCTTAGGGAATTCGTCCATATAAATACTTTTCGGCAAATCTACACACTCTAAACTTCATTTTGATATGCCATATGCCTATATTTTTATTTGGTAAATAGCCTTAACCGTTTACATAAAATTTGATTGTATCACTTTAATAATATAATAGATACCTATATCAATAGTTTCCAAAGAAAACCGATTTTGAACCGATCTGATTTGGCTCGAGGCCCATAGGTGAGTAACATTTTTTACCTGAGTAAACAAATCTGAGTAAACAAATCTAAAATGGGAAGTAAACAAATCTACAGTGCAGCCTCCTAAGAGTAAGAAATTAAATTAAATGAAAATCCTTCTTTAGCATCAATGAAAGAATGGAATTATTTATTACCTAAACCCTAGCCACCAAGGTTGATTCGCTGATTTGATCGTAAAAAAATTGTCAAGTTCATTTAGTTGAATCAGCATAGAGGGCACTCATAGGTGTGGCCTGCCGGGGGCTAGGAGGATTAACATTAATGTTTTATCCTCCTAGGCCGGGGGCCACATTGGTTCTAAATATGGCCCTATTATAGGGCCTTCACACAGTCCACGAGGACACTTGATGCAACCTGCATGACTGATGACAATTCTTTTACTTAGGTTGATAGAGAATTTATATCGATCAGTCAAGTAATACTGTCAGTTTAGCTGTTGTAAACTACTTGTCCTAGTGCTCTTACTGGTTTTAACAAATTTCCGTCATAAAAAACATATGGTAACTCTCTTAGGTAATATTCCTATATAAATATTGTTATAATAGGGGGCCCTTGTGGCTGAGCCTGTCCCACACTTGCGGGCCCATGTCCCAGTAAAATTTCCCAAAAAATCCCGATCAAGGCTCGGGGGCCTGCGGGCTCGTTATCGCCACTACTGCCATCTAATTGCAGAGGTAGAACTAGTGTGTATCCCACAATGTTGTATTCTGTGTCTGCAATCCCATGTTTTGGGTTTGGTTATAACAATTAATAATTTAAAATAGCTTTACCTCTTTTTTCAGCCTGTTGATTTGTTTAGTTATTGCTTGACCTTTATCTGTAAAGTGCTCTGCTTCTTTAGATGTACTATCGGTTTCCTCCATTGTAATTGATTTTCTAGAGACTGATATGTCTTTCTGGAACATTAGGATCAGATTTACTACATGGCTAAATTAATGATAATTATATACAGTATGAGTTATGATAGCAAACATTATTTAATGTTCATAACAAACACAAACTTTTGGAAAACATAAACCCGACACCTATCAACTGTGTACTTTATTGCAAGTTTTTGATGAAAAAATCCAAGCAAAAAATAATTTCTTCATCATAAAATCATTGCTAGGGGCACGAATCTTAATTTAAGAGTTGTATCGGTTATATTTAATCACATTTCAAATATTGAACATTTATGGGTCAGGTGTTTAATTTGTTATTATTTGTAATTGTTTGTTTACTTTTTCTCTGGAGTTAACCTTTAGAAATATTATTAGTTTACAGGTAGAAACCAATTTCTTTTGATTATTGGTTTTGATTGAGCCCCTTGATAGCAAATACATAAATCAAAGATATTGGTTTATTAAAATAAGCAATATGATTTAAAAAAATTAAAATAGGCCTAAAAACATCTTCAATATTTAATGAATTTTTAATTCCATGAGGCCTCTCGCCAGTTATGCTGGCATCATCAGACACATCACAAAACTGAAGGATATGTTAATGTTTGGAGCCTGGAGGAGTTTGGTGTTAGGTGAAATGCCTGTGCTAAGCCAATTTAAGAAAAGAAACATTTGTGCTGTTTAATTATGTTCACTCTTTGAAGACTTTGACGCTATGAAAATGACTTTCTCATTAAAAGTAAATAAGTTATTTCTTACACCAAAAAAACAAGTAATATAACTATTTACTACTCGGGAGAGGGAAGGTCTATTCAAGCTGCTCATTACCAGACATGTTAGACGACCAATCTAAGTTCAAAGCATATTTCCGATTTAACCCTAGAGCTGGCAATAGTGTAACGCTGTACTGGCATAGGGATATTATTGATTATGTAATATCATTTTTAAACCATCATAAAAATTAGAAATAGCAACATAACTATGGATTGTTATATATCATTTTGTTCAGAACAAGACAAAGAACAATAATATAGGTGATTTACATGGTTACCACAAAAAAAAATTTTTTTTAGTTTTTCCAAATTGTGGGCATTATTAATTTTTTTATAAAATGTTTTTATATTCCGTCGTATAGCTAAGTGCATGTAAGACTTAGCATCATAAGATAAATTGTAAAGTTGTGTTAAATTTTGTGCTGATTCCAAAAATATATAGTTTATATAGCTTATTTTGTGTATTTTGTTTGATAGCCCTATTACTATGTCGATCGTACCCCTGCGCTAGTACCAAATAATCACCCAACCCAGGTCATGTACAAAACCGTACACCTTATACAATATATAATTCCAGGGTACTCTGGTTTGTATTATTTAACTTATTTATTACAACAGTAACCCAAAAAAGTAAACAAAACTAAAAAAAAAAAAAAAATTATAGGCCTACCGTAACACCGGCATTGGCGCCGTATATCCGGCGTCGCCATTTCGGCCGCGGCCGTACACGCCGTATATCCGGCGTTTGTCAGTGCTAGGGTTAAGCATGAAAAATTTATACTTGAGTGAGATACGATGAAGAAGTGAAGAACTCCACAAACAGAAGAATTCTACAAACAGTTGACTTCAAAACAGTGTCTGTCTCGCTGCAGGGTGCGGAACTGACTGCTCTTGAAACATTCGCCCATCTCGCAGCCTGATGGGACTGCGTAATGCAGCAGCTATAGGTCGACCGCTTAGAAAAGAACCTGCATGCCAATGCTAATGGCATTAGCGCGCAGGTTCTTTTCTAAGTGGTTGACCTATAGGAAGACTACTGCTCCCTACACCCAAACCTATGTATTGAGTCAGTGCTGAACATTGCAGCATAAAATCACATCAACTGCTAGGAAATCAGGCCTTAAGACCAAGCAGTAGCGGCTATTTAGATGCAACAGCTGCCACTGTACCACTTATTTAAAAAAATATGTATTTATAATAGGCTCAAAATCACCAACGGATTAAAACACCCATTAGGCCTACAGTCCTTTCAGGCCAGCTCTATATCACTGCACCAGGCAAAGTATGGGATCATCTGAAAGAACAAAGGCTGCATAAAAAGGTCTAATATATATATGTCTAGTTTTTGCCACTGGAAAAAAATAAAAAAATATTGCTATAGCCTATTGTGTCTTGATGTAGTGTGCAAGGACCTTCCCTGTTCAAACTCGTGCACACTGTGGGGCGGCTATATCTGTAGCATGTCTTAACACATTTGCTGCTGCGGACGTTCCGGAACGTCAGCGGGGCCACGGCGCCAGGAGCTAGGAACGTTCCGGAACATCACCGTTCATTGTTGTTTAACGTTTCCATGGATCAGCCAGCTCGTGGGGACGTACTTTTCTGACAATAAAAAATATAGTTTCCCAAAATCACCACCAGGGTTGTATAGAACAGGGCTTTGTCCCACCCCTTTACTGCTAGATAGCGACTCTACTTTACTGACTGCAACCTGGGTAGTGCTGCTATCTATCAGAATCTTTTAGTACTATGTACAAAACCAGTTTTATCGCAGAACATTGCTATCTAGTATAACTACTGTTGTATTTACTGCAATTAGGTGTATTAGCCGCAATGTTATGCAGCGGCGAGCTCTAGTTCAGCTCCTGGCGCCGTCCCGGAATCTAGCGCTCAGCAGCGAACGTGTTAATGTAAAATTTGTGATTCTAAAGTACAAAAAGACATTTTGATTTATATCTATAGGCCTACTAGAACTTTTTGTTCAAAATTTTATAGGCCTAGTAGAACTTTATGATACATTATGTACTAAAGTGTTTTCATAACAGTTGGAAAACCGCAGAATGGGTTGAATTTAGGCTAGTGTGCAAAAGGCCTAGTGTCCTTTCTTCCACAAAGCAACACAAGATTTAATTTCAGAACTCCTTAACACTTTTGATGCGGGTGGTAATGCACCATGATAATTTCACAGCAACCACTGATGGCACAGTACTGTCCCATGGCGCAATGCAAAAATCAGTTGCTCGTTGTTGGGGTAAATCCCTAGTGGAGTCGGTCGCAAACGACTTAAGTCTGATTAGTATGAGTTGCATAACCATTGGGTAGCTGATTTCCCGCATTGCCCCAATCACCGTATTTTTGTGATAAATGCACTGGGAAGCTAAGTTTACAGTTTACACTGGGTTTTTAAACGCTACAATGCTGTTTTATTAATATATAAGTTAGCTAACCTCTCATATTTTTTTTTCTGCGCAAATTAATTCATATTTTTAGGTTACCTGATTGACTCAATTTAGTGCACACATCTACCTGATCTTGCATAACCTTCAGGTAGCTTCGGGTTGTTGGTCTCCGCGTTGCTGCGATTGCTATATTGTTGTGCTCAATGCACTGGAGAGCCTGGGCCTTTTCACGAAAAATACCATGCATAGTGTTGAGAGATTGGAGAAAGGTTAGTGGTTGGTGATGTATATAATTTAACTAAGCTTTAAATAACCCCAACTATTTTCTTCATAGCCTCAATAACTCACTTTTTCCAAAATATGCTGAAGTAAGTGTTCTGTTCCGGGTGTGGATGGCACAGTACTGTGCCAAACAGATGAAGTTACTAAGCTAGGCTATATTACATTATCAATGGATAAACTCTTTGAACTTCATTTTGAATCACCACATATAAAAATATGTTTTGCATGTAACTTTAACATTTTTAGCATTAGGCCTACTTTCCCTCTTTATTACCGGCAGCGAATGTGTTGAAAATGCACTGTGACATTAAGTCAACCTTCTCCCCTTTATATGTTTATACAGTTAGTGAATTGAATAAGTCAATAAAAGGTTGTTTGTGAATCATACATTGTTAATGTGACTTGAGTTAAAAGTTTGTGTGGCTCAGAGTACAACATACGAAAATTATTATAAAATATTCCGAGTATGTATTTTCCCCACCAAAAATTAGGTAGGCTATGTGAGTTAACCTATACACTGACGACTGTAGACTACAAAAAGCATTGCACCATTGCATTTGTTAAGATTCGAATTAAATTTAAGAACAATAAATGACGTATAATAAGATAAAATTATAAATTTAAATTTAATACAGGGCATTAATACGTATTCATCTATGGTAGCTATAACAAAAATACTATAGGTACTGAGATACTTACTAAGCATGAACAGAAATAAATTTCGTAATGCCGCTGCCGGTCCGGTACTAAAATGACCCAAACAAAAACACTGCAAAATTTGACTTTGACATTTCTTTCATGAAAAGTGTCAAAAGCATATGTAAATACAAGTGACTAATCAAGATCAAGACACAGACTTTGGAACTAAAGTAGAGGGCTACAAGGCTACAAACAGATCTTTTGATTTATTGTTTCATTTTGAGTATACCTCTATTTAAATGGTTCGTTCTAGTATAATGGTTTTACTTCACATCACAACTCAGTAAAACTTTAACCCTGTAATGCCGGGCAAAGTATATACTTTGCCCGGCATTACAGGGTTAAAGTTTTAACATCACTCACTAAACATCATTAAACATCACTTTAAATATTTAAAGTGATGTTTAATCTATGGTACAATTTAGTAACGTGATGCCATAGCATAAGCATAACCAAAGACTAACCGTATGTTTTATCTATGGCATAACGCACTACTCAAGATCGTATCAGCAAATGGGCAGAGTACATAACATACGACCATTGACTGTATAACACAAACGACATAACATTACGGTCGACGCTATTGAGGAGGTGAATCAGCCGTGATGAGAGGTGAGGATTTTAATGACTACTCTCGTAGGGTGGGGGGTGCTACTCGTTACACTCGATGTGCGAAACGCATTTAATTCTGCAAGATGGTGCGATATGCTGGACGCTCTGGATAACACATTCCACGTCCCGCGTCCCGGCATACCTCATGTGCATTAAAGAGGATTTCCTCCGGTCCCGCCTCCTCATATGATACTACAGAAGGCCCGGGGACGATGAATGTCACTTTTGGTGCTGTTCAAGGTTCCATACTCGGCCCGGACCTCTGGAACGTTGCCTACGTTTTTCTTTTTCAGCCTCCTTAGGTCTGAAATGCCTAAGGAAACCGTTTTAGTTGGGTACGAAGATGGCATTGCAGCTTTAACAGCTGTTCGTAGTGTCGAACTGGCCCAGCTAAAATGAAACCGAGTCATGCGATCTATATACGCATGGATGGCATATCACGCGGTCTCTCACTCGCGCTGAACAAAACTGAGATCGTGATTCTGACCAAAAATCGGATTGACAACATTGTACCGTGAGGGTGGGGGATGACGAAGTCCATACCATTCGTGCCGCCAAGTATCTTGGTGTCACGGTGGACTCTATAAGCTTTAGCTGGCAAGACCAGATATATTCCAAACGACGGAAAAGGCCGCTAAGGTGATTTCTTCTCTTAGCCGGTTAATGGTCAATGTTGGAGGTCCTCGTTCCAGTCGCAGAAGGCTGTTGATGTCTACAGTTCAGTCTGTGCTCCTGTATGGTGCGGAAGTATGAGCAGACGCGCTCAATAAGGAGGTGTATAAGATGCGGCTCGCCAGAGTGCAGCGTCAGGCAGCACTCAGGGTAGCATCTGCCTACCAAACAGTGTCTGAACCCGCTATCTTGGTGGTTGCTGGAGTAATCCCCGTCAAACTTTTGGCGGCGGATAGGAAAGCGATTTATCAGCAGCGTGGGGGAGGACCGTGCAAAAAAAACGTAGGAGTGCAACCGCACCTACCAGCTGTGGCAGAAGAGCTGGGAACAGGAGTCGCGGGGACGCTGGACCAGGAGACTGATTCAGCAAGTCCAACCATGGGTTGACCGACGGTATGGTGAGGTGGACTATTATCTTGCTCAGTTTCTGACAGGTCAGAGGTTTTTTTCCGGTCGCACCTGTACAGGATCGGCAAAGCTGTGTCACCCGATTGCATCTACTGCCCATGCACTCTCGACGACGCGGAGCACGCCTTCTTCCGCTGCCAGCGCTGGGTAGGTTCCCGCCTGGAGGCTCAACAACATGTAGGGCAGTTGTCGGTGGACACGGCCATTCTGATGATGACGGAAGGTGAGGAGAGGACAATCAATTGGACATGTATGTCACATTTTGTCCAGGGTATTCTCCACGCAAAGAAGCAAGAGCTTGACCGCGGGATGCAGTCTAGGTCATAAAGAAATTGAATGCCAGAAGTGGCGCGAGCCCTGAGGGCTTTGGTCACACGTTGAGCTGATCTAAAGTTATGTGACAAACAAACCCAGGTCTGTGTCCAACGTTATCGCAGCCAGGATTGCCACTGTCGTGTTCCAAAGTTAAAAATTTTGCTATTATGGTCGGGACGTCAAATCTAGGGACAGACCTATTTTATCATGGTAGTCAGTTTGTAATGAAAACAAAATTATTATATCCTCCTTTTTTGTAAGTTTAATAACTATTAATTGATAACATACAAATGGCTTTATATATTTCAGCATGAATAATTAGTCTAAAACAGCGTGAAAGTTGAAAAATGTACTCTAGGGACACATGATGGTCGTGAATTTTGAGACTTTTAAAATACGAAAAAATACCTAGAACCTACTTAAAGCCAAATAAATGTTTGTTACATGTTGCCCCCGTCCCAAAAATATTAAAACACATAATAATATACTACAAATACAGTATCTACGAAGTAAAAGGCCAGGGACATTAAAACGTACGTTTCAAAATGTTCACTCTACTACAGGCTTGTTTTCATTGACATTTTCTACAGTAAAATTAATAATAAACCATTTACAATATTTTAATCTTTATAAATTTAACTATATTTGTATTAAAATTTACATTGAGATAGAATCTACGTTTTAATACAGTACCAATACATTTTAACAAGTATTCCAAAGTCTTTGATTTTTTTAGTATATTTTTTGTTATCAATGAGAATGTAAACACTGTGACTGCTATCACTGTTTTGTAGTCTGTTAGTCTGTTCTCTTCTCTGTTCTTGTTCTTGTTCTTGTACTCCGTACTCGTTCTCCTTTGAACTGTCATCATCGGCAATGTAGTAGTTAAGTTAACCTCAAATTCAATTGTCAAATTTACACGTCCAAGAGAAGTATCATTTCAATTTTGTATCTTACTATTTGTCAAACAAAATATAATATACTTTTTAAACATGTTATAGAGTTACGTCAGTGCGCAAAGATTGGAAAGCTGTTGTCTGTTGAAATGCAATATTTCTTGCATAGGCTATTAACTAGTGCATTGTGGCCATTTAGAGAAATGTACTAACAGATTGTGTAAAGTAAAAAATGTAAGTGCATATAAAAGTCTAGTTGTAAATGTGACTTAATTTGTAAATGTGATAACCCAACCAAACCTAACCTAATTAAGGGTAAAGCCCAAGATTGTACATGGAGGAGAGAGTGGCTGGGTGGAGCTAAAGTAACTTCTTAAGTGTTTAATACAGTAGATATCACAAGTATTTCATATATGCCTATTAAGCTCCTTACTGTAATTTCTCGAATCATAAGAGATAACCAGAGATTGAGTTTAGTGTAGGCTAGATTTTTCATCCTTAAATCATTTTAGTGTCTAGATATCAAGTTAGCTTATGTTAGTTTGACATTCCTTATTAATTATATGTATGTTATTAAATTGGTAGTTTCTAGGTTAGGTAGGGGAGGGGGGAAACGATTTCGATATTTTTGACGATGCAATTCGCGTATCGCGATACAGACGCTCGATGCAATACGATATTTTTTTCCGATTCGTATCGCTGAGTCGCGATACGCGTCCGTATCGCCCATCACTCCTTTAGGTCCTACACTCATTCGAATGAAAATATCGATCGATATATCGATTGATCGATTGTTTCATTCGATATATCATATATATAAATTTAGGTTAGGTTAACCTTACCTAACTAACCAAACGATATATCGAATGAAAAAATCGAATAGGCCTAAAGGATATTTTCATTCGAATGAGTGTAGGACGTAAAGTAAAGTGCAGCCGAGAAATCTACATACTGTACCCCAAGTAAGATTTACTTGAACATATTTTTTGTTTTGCTATTGATAAATTGGTAGGCCTACTGTATGTACAAGTTATACATTACGTTGTGCTGACCTCAAACTAATATGCAAATGGTCTAATTAGTTTTTTATATGTTTAAGGTAATTTGGATTACGTTCCTCATTTTAGCCAAATTATGACTCTTGATTTTCTTCCTTAAATGTTTATTACTCTTTGATACATATTTAGACTATTTAAGTTTACAGAAGAACTAAATAATGAAAAATTTAGCCTAACTCTTTACCGATCACAACATGCAAAACCATAAGTTAATTCTGTGATTTCTAAAACGCAGAGGATAGGTGTCCGGTAACCGGACGTGGATTAGGCGTCCGGCAGTTACTGTCATAACCTAACCTGACCAACCAAACTTGCTGATGATGAAAAAAATCAAATGAAGGTTCAATTCTCTTCATAACATAAAATTATAAATGCGAAAAATTCTAACAAAAGATGTACAGTTAAGAAGAAATTACATTCAAAGCAAAATCTGTGACAAAAAGTTATAGAAACCGATGGGTTTCAAACCAGGGACCTCTTGGATATCAGCTGAGCACTCTATCCACTACACCACGAACAACGCTGGCCGAACATCGTATCGTTGTGGTAATGGCGTTCCGGGACCCCACAACCCGGTGACGTCACTACCGGATGCCTAATCCACGTCTGGTTACCGGACGCGTATCCTCTGTGTTTCTAAAATGTGCCCAGTTAAGTTATAAAACATTTTGCTTTGTGTTTTTCATAGGCCTACTAAAAACTGTTTCAAATTAAAAACCAATATTCTATAAGCTTCTTTCTCTTTTAAAGAGCTAAGTTTAACTACCTATAAAAGATTTTCTTAGAGGTCTGAATAATGCTAAGCTATTCCAGTGTCACAAAAAGTCTGTAGGGCGGGTTCTGTTTAAAATAGCTATAGGGCTAGAAATAATTTTCACAATACATCACCTAGCATTAATATGCCTATTAATCGAGAATGTGAGCTATCATCATGCCAAGTTTCAGCCCAATCCGTCCAGTAGTTAAAGTGTGATTGAACTTCAAACAAACAAACACACAAACTTTCACATTTATAATATTAGTAAGATTTAAAAATAAAAATACTTTTTAACACTAATACCAAAATCCTGGTCTGACAGGCCCACAGGAATTTTCAAAAATGCATGTTGGCAACACTGTTTACTTGGGAGATTCCATTTCATTTTGCATGGGTGCCGTAACCTTGACAGGTTGTCTGTTCATAACATGCCCGTCTCAGAAGCCCATCATCGTTGGTGCATTTTAAAGGGGGGTCTCACAGGCCGAGGGTTTCGGTTTGTGTGTGTCTAAGCGAGGTCCATTATTTTTCTAATGGAGTCTCACAGAGACCGGGGGTTTCGGTTAACGTCAGTCTTGGTAGGGTTTCGGTATTAGTGTTAAAATGCCACGTTTTTAATGCACTAAAAAGTATAAATTAATTTATAAATATGTTGAGAGAATAAATAGCCTACTTGTAATAAACGAAAAACGTGGGGCGCATGCAATAGATCATAATAGTTCAATAGGTAAAATTAATTGTAAATTAGCATGCGCCTCACGTTTTTTGTTTTAAATCTTACAAGGATTTATTCTCTCAACATATTTATAAATTATTTTATACTTTTTAGTGCGTTTAAAAACGTGGCATTTTAAAAAGTATTTTTATTTATAAATTATTTTTACTCAGAACATTCTAGTTCTATTTTGTTAGTGATAGGCTATATCTTGAGACCTTGCTTGGGTTTAAGTCTGGGTGAAATTCATTATAAAAAATATGTTCTTCATCATGCACTAACTGTGAGATACTTACCTCACTTGATTATTTCAGGCAAGCGTGGAACATTAGTAGGTAAACTAGGAATTTAAAAGTTAACCAACCCTAAGGTTTCATTATGAACATGGTTATAAATTAATGTTGTGTGTTTTCCATAAGTTTCAACGGATCAAATGGTTGTTGTGGAAATGGCATCTCGCAAAAGAAGTGGATCTGGGTCCAAAAGACAGTTAAAAGAAAAAGTTGTTCAAATTTACGAGTCGTTTTTCAGGGTAAGTTTTACAAATAGGTACAGTACTGGATAAGTGCTACTGTAAGTTAAACAACTATTTTTATATTGTGTATCAAAACAATTAGGTGTTTGAATAAATTTCAAATTTAACAGAGAAAGTAACTTACATACCTACTTAGCTTTTCTATCTTTAAGTAGATTGCATATTGATTGAGTACAGTACAGGAATATCCCGCTCATCTAAATGCTAAATGTACCTGTTTTAAACATTAAAATAGCAGGCATAAAAATAGAGGGCCTTTTGGTGATGTTTGATTGGTTAGATCTGGTTAATCCAGACAGATTTAACACATTCGCTGCAGAAAATTTAGCCTTGTTTGCACGGGTCGAGTACGGCAGGCGATTCAGTACGGTATGCGAGTTGCCACTCGCTTGTTGTAGACATGCAGGCGAGTTGGTAAAAAGAGGTCAGTTTAGAGCAAGTCGAGTGATTAAGTTGAGTTATTCCATGGTCGCTGGGTGAGTCAGTACTTATTGTACTGAGGTTAGTTCAGTGTAGGCTTGACTATGTAAACACTATTGTTATATAGGCCTAGTCAATGCTGTAGGTCTACTCACTCGACACTCAATGCTTGCTCAATGGTTCAGTTAGGAACAGTTGGTCCTGTGTTGCATTGTCTTGCTGTATGTAATTTCTCCTCTTATTAAATTTAGTTTTAAAAATCTTTGTACCACTAAAGATCTACAGTTCTACTGTACTGGATCTATTAATCAATGGGTCGTTACAAAGCTCACTCCCTAAACATGTTTTCTATCAGGAGTACATTGAAACCGGTGTTTTCAAATTTTTTATTTGGAGGCAGCTTTTGGCTGCCATTAGCCTAATCAGTATTTTCAAGAAATGCATTATAGTAATTTGTAACAAATTTAATTCTCTTTCAGAATATCACCTTCTACTTTGGTCGATTAATTTGTTTACCGTTTAAAAGTTAGTTGCAAAAAAGCTTTTAAGCAACCTCTGGATTTAAGTGGTAATTCAGTCTAATAATCTAAATCAGTGATAAATTCAGCATTAAACTCTTGACATGCCATTTTAAACTCAAACAACATTGAACAAGAATGCTGGTATACAAAATATCCTACACCACAGAGAAGTAATAAAAATTACTTCTCTGTGCCTAAGTTACACTGTCCCTCTGAGAAATAGGGATGCGTGTGGACAGTCTAGTCAAGTATTGATTGGGCAAGTTAAACAAATCAACCTAGTAACTGGGCCGAACAACTCGCCTGCCATACTCGACCCATGTAAACCAGGCTTTTTGTTCAGAGCAATAACAAATGTAGGCCTAAAATTTTTTTTTTTATCTTACTTTTAAGTCAAAGTTGAGATTCAGTGGTTAAAAAAAGTCATGACCAAGACTAATAATTGTTGATTTTTTTGGTAAAAGTTTTATCAGTCACCGGTGGACCCCCGCACTGTGAGCTAAAAATAGCATAAGCTGCCCTAGCGTTCTAATCTGCCACGCCACTACATTTCTGCGGGTTGTGCGATACAAGGCCATGGTGGACCCTAAGTTTAAACGTTATTGTTTTAGTATTTTGACTGTATATATAAATATTATTTGTATATGTACAAATATCTTCCGCACCTGCCTAGGCGGAGGAATACGTACAATCTCTGGGTAGGCCTATAATGTGGCAACAAACCAGTCTTATTGTACCACACCAGCCTTGGCTGAACCACACCAAGCATCCAAACAAACAAAGGCGCTCTCCCTCACTGGTGGACCCGCTGCAGCGAATGTGTTAAGAGATATTTTTCAGGCAATGATCTAAATTTTATAATCAACTAATAAGTGACAAAATATAGCCTAGCCTATATTAACTCATTGAAACCCCAGCTGGTATGGTGTCCGGTAGATGTCTACTATTTCCCCATGGCAGTAGGGAACGCTCATGATTTGGTGGTTGGCAAGGGCAGTTTCGTTTGTTGTTATAGATTTTTCTACATTTGCTGAACCCTTTATGTTATCTATAGTATGACAATTAATATTATCTCTAAACCAATACATTCCAATGCAACCCGTTTTTACCTGACCTGCTTTTGGGTCAAGACATTTGGTCAACATTTTCACCCGAAGTAAACAAGTCTAGCACTCAGACCCTCAATATTGTTTTTTTTTTTTTTGTAATTCAATTACTTATAAGCCTCCTAGCCTTTTAGATCCATTCGCTAATCACGTCTTCAAAAACAAAGGGTCGAGTAACAGTTTTGTGTAGGTTCCAAGCTTGAATTTTTAATTCTGGCTCAATTTTCCTACATGCATTTTAGCATTTACCTTACTTATCTTCTTATTTTTACTGCGATAAAAATCAACAAACTAAGCAATTAAGAAAATAAAGACTACTTATGTCATTGATATTGCCTTTAGTTGATACTCAATTGTATATTCCTATTCCAATATTTTGTTTGAGGTATTTTGTAAACAAACTTGAAAAAAAATTTCCAGGGAGAAGATCTAACCAGGGCTAATCCTAATGTGTGGGATGAATTATTTCTTCTCAAACCTAAGGTAAGTGAATGATACATCCATGTGCAATTGAGAGAGATTGTTTCTTAGGGCCTTTGTCTTTGTTTTATTAGGCAGGGCCAATTTACTGAATAGGCATGGGAGACAAGTCCCTAGGGCGCAAGGCAATTAGCTTTTTTGGGGTGCGCCAAAAAATTTGAAAATATTGGACAAATTGGTCGTTGTATTTGCATGAGATTGCGGTAAACTTATCCCTCTAGGCTGTGTAAACATCGTAATTGTCTACCGCGGTCATGTAGGCATAATTATCGTCTTCCATAATTAAAGCAATATATGAACATATCCCGCGGTCGTGAAGAGATTATCATTGTCTACCACAAATGAGGCAAAATTCTGATTTTTTACCGCGGTCAAGTGAACATAATCATTGTTTTGCGCGATCACGGTAACATATCATCCCTCACAGTCGTCAAAAAAAAATTATATTGTCCCCGCGGTCGTGTGGACACTGCACATAGTAATCGTCTCTCACGATTGCGGCAAAATGTTAATCATATCTCGCAGTTGTGTGGAGATTGTCATCGTCTTCCGCGATCGCGGAAAAAATCTGACTGTTTCCTGCGGTTGTATGGACATTATCGTTATCTTCCGTGAACATGGCAATATTCTAAACATCCATCGTGGCTCTCTAGATATCATCATCATGATCGCAGCTAAATCATGATCATATCCCGCGGTTGTTTAAACATTATCATCAACTTCTGCAATCTCGGCAAAATTATGATCATCCCTCGTGGCAGTGTGTAGACAATAGACATATTACCGTCTCCACGGTCATGGAAACGTAACTGTTGTGATGCGCGATTGCCGTAAATAATTAAATTATTCAATTATTGAAAATTCCAGGTAGAAATACAAAATTCACGCATAATTCCCGGTAAAAAAAAACTCAAACATAATTTGCAGATTTCCCGGTTTTCTTGGTCGGTGAACACCCTGTTATATATTGCCTGGGGTGCTGTATATACAGAGTTTCCATAAAATAGTGGTGGGGTTTAATTATGAAATAAAAAGAAAACGAGAAAAGAAACAAAAACCTATTTATTTTGTTGAATTCCTGCCTTTAAAAAGATTTTATACATAGCTAATAAACTTCAATATGGCCACCATTTCTTGCTGTACATACGTCTAGACGATGATCTATTTCAGCCCACACGTTGTGCAACATTTATCTCATTACAACTTCATCTCTAACTCAATTAGATGGGCCAAATTTCAAATTTTTGAGAATAAACTATGTTTTAGACATATCCTAAATGCCCGTTTTACTAGGGTCATTGAATTTAGTTCACTTAATTACATCACACACTTAGCCCTTTCTTGACGGAAAACATGTTTGTAAAGGAAATAGAACTTTAAGTTTATTTAAAAGAATAAGTAGGTTGTCGATTAGCACAAAAATCAACACAGCTGTTTTAATTAATGTAAACAAAACTGTTTGAGCTACCGGATGCAGGGGTACCAATATGAAATATTTAATTCATCTTATAATAGTTTCACAGACAGTTAAAACCCCACCATTATTTTATGAAAACCCTGTTTATTATTGGTATGTAGACCTATATTAGTTGTGCCTTGAGCGCTGACAGGGTCTAAAACGGTCCTGATAGTAGGACTAATTCAGTTCTATTTGATGTAATTACGTTGACTTAATTACAAGGCCACACTAAAAAAACAGGCCGTAATGCTCGTCTAGCATGACGTCACGATAGAAGACGGCAATGACATATTTTTGCCGTTTGTGATCAGCTGCTTGTTTTAATATTTTCATGGAAAACAAAAATATAATCTTAATTACGTCATTGCCGTCTTTTATCGTGACGTCATGCTTGATGAGCATTACGGCCTGTTTTTTTTTGTGTGGCCTTGCTATATATCTCCCTGTAATTAATAAATTTTATGTTTGATTATTATTTGATTATGTATTATTGAATAGGTATATTATTTAGTCAAACACTATAACTTTCAAGTTGAGAATTCAGTTGAATTCATCAAACTCGGAGACAACAAAAAAAGTTACTTGTATTAAAGCTATTTAAATTGTAGTTTTAAATTGTTATGTATGTTATGTATCTTAATACATAACATCAGTGCAATAAAATCCCCTTGAAAAACGACTATTTTGTCTGATAAACATATATAAATTAGATACTGTAGCCTACATGTTTCCTACTCAATATTCTTTCAGCTCAAAAAGATCTGAAGGCTTGATGATTGTTACCTTAGTTAATTACGTATTTGTAGATAAGCTACTTTGAAATGGAAATGCAGAAAATGAGCGGCGAACAACTAGTTTTGATACAAGACAATCTGCATGTACTGTTCGACCAGTGCATTGAAACCTTGGGACATCAACACAGCATCAGAGTGGTGCATGCATTACAGGTAGGCTCTCTGTATTGTATTAAACCTCTCTTAGACTAGAATTTGATGGGTTGGACTGCTTTCTTTTAAAAGTTTTTCGAAACTCCTTAATTGAAAATACTATTGGCTTAGAACCTAACAAGAAATAGAAAAGTAAAATAAATCTTCTCTTCCCGCAGCAGGCTAGATATGTCAGGTTTAGCCCAAGTCTTGTACATACCTTTTTTGACTGACTGAAGTTCATTACATACAGGTCAGTTAATCAGCATATTGTTATCAGTTTACCTTGGAGTAACTGTGTTTGGTAATGTGGCTAGGTTTCATGTCTGTCTTGTTTCAAAGGTCTACATCACAAAACAAAAGGTTAGATATGAAACATGTAGTTTTCCTAGGATAACCCTATGAAATTATCTTATTTTTTTAGCTTTGCTCTTCTATAGTTAAACTAAACTGCATTTCCTTAAAAAATGTAAATAAAATGATTCAGTGTAATGTTCTTTTGGGTACTTTGTGACTAACTTCAGGGTGTTTTTTTTTAACTAAACCAAATTAAAAGTAGGCCTATTGAAATTTGCTCTTTAGGAACAAAACAAGCTCACAAGTTGACATCCCTGCTTTCTTTATATTCATTACCAATGAGCTAATATGCATTTTAGCATTGTTGTTTATATACATTACTTTATTATTTGCTTAGTTTTACCAAGGTTTTACTTTAGCAAAAATATGCTCATATTATTATTTTTTTCAGACACTGTGTGCAATTGTAAATAGCACTTACAGAAAGTGTCAAAATGATGCCATGAATTTATTAATGGGTATCCACGCTGCTGAGAAACGAATGCAGCAGTTGTTAAATCATTGCAATTCAATACTGAGTGGTGAGTGTATTTTATTGATTTATAAAACAAGGTGACTTCAAACCAATTTATGAAACTTTCATTCTTTTTATAACTATCCATTTGTTTTATAACTATCCACAAAAACCATATACAGTAATAAAAATAGGCATATGGATATATTTTAGTAAAAATGTAATCAGACAAGTTGAAATTCGCTTAGTCTGCAGGTTTGTTGCGGCGGGGGTATTATTTATTATTTAAATTAACTTTTAGCCAAAAGGTAAAATTTTATCTCTACTGTTACAGGAGAAAGTCCCTCCAGTCTGAAAAACCTGTGTCTGAAACTACTACTGATTCTTGTAACTGGAGCAGACAACGTATCGACAAATTTTTTGTTGGAGTATGTTATGATGAACAGTATTTTTGAAACTCTGATACAAGTAGGTTTTTTTACCTTTATTTCAATTTCAATTTTGCAGTTTTTATCTTCGAAAACTTCAGTAGAACATTGTGATTAATGTTTAAAAAGTATGTGTTTTAGGTAATGACTAACGTGTTCAGTTATTTTTGGACCAGTGATGGCTTTTGTAACATGTTATTCCTTATTAATACAAATTTATGATCAGTAAGATTGTCAGGTATCTATTAAACCAGACCAGGATTTAATTTAAGAAATTTTGGAGGAAGTGTGAAATAAACAGACACACAATTGAAAAACCAGACTTAGTAGTCATTATTTAATACTTTTCAATCTATCAATGAATGAATCATTTTATTAAAAGCCTTCTGCTTTAGAAGTTTGGCTCAGAGTTGTGCCAATCAACAAGGGACATTTGAGTAAGTGTTCTGCTTTAAAATCCTGGGCCAGAGTTTTGCCAATTGCCAAACATTTGAGTGAAGGCCCTCTGCTTTCTGGGCCAGAGTCCTATCAATCACTTAATGTGCATAGCTGTGTGATAATTACACGTTTGAATCCACTATAAACTGCATGTCCATTTTAAATACATTTATTTTAAAAACAGTACTTACTTACCAATAGTTTTTGTAGATAACAGTGTTTCACAAATACAAAACTGTCTGTTGCATGACTATTTTTCAAATATGAGAATTTTTCCAGTGAACTAAGCTACAATAATTTGTGTGGTCAGTATAAAAGAGTAGAACATACAAATCCTTGATAAACAATAATTTTCCCCTAAAATTCAGCTATTACTACCATGTGTACTTTTCAGTTGCTTTGCAGTACAAACAGCAGAGTTGCTCATGGACATGATGTGGTTTCATTGTTGACATTACTTATCAACTATCGTAAACACGAGGCAGCTAATCCATACATTGTCAAACTTTCTATCCTAGATGATGAGTTAGCCCTGAATGGATACGGTCAGGTAAAATGCCACAAGTCTTACTGTTACTGGGTTTTTAAGTTGTTGAGAAACTACAGTAGAAATCCAATTACACATACTCCAATGATCCATCTCGCCAATTAATTATCTGGATCACTTCCACCAGAAAAAAATCAACTAGAAAAATTAGGTTTGCTGCAGTTTGCAGCTGTCACATATTTCCTATTTGTGCCAAATGTGTACATCAAGTGGCAAGTCTATGTTGAAGTGTAGAGTCGTTTTTATGAATTTTTTTATTAACAAATTTTACCACCCAGATTTTTTTATTACGTTATGTGGTCTGTCACTAATTGATCTATCCTTGTGGATTTCTACTGTACATGGTAAAAAGTATTTTTTACTTTATAAAATGCCAAAGCAAGATAAAATGTTTACAGAATTAATGTAAAAAACCTTAAGATGTTGGTTGTATAGTTTTTCATTCAACAGCAACAGAGGTAATGAACGTTTCAAATAATAGAGCACGGGCAGTTGTGGTGCCTTGTGTCTATCACTGGCTGAGATCTGCTGATTCTTTATTCATAATTATTGATTGGAAGCTAGATGATAATGGAAGCTGGTTCTAGTTGGAAACATACGTTAAGCTTGCACATTTGTTTCAGAATCTGAGCACATGACTTATTTTATTGTTTCTTTGTATTTTATAAAACTCACAAATGTCATTTTAAACCATAAAAAGTGCAGTAACTGTTCTTGTAAAACAAATATAGGCCTAGCTTTTTTTTCTCCTAAGACACTAGGCACAAGCCCTGGATTGTTTTTCACATCCTACTTCAGGCTAGGCCTAAGGGTTGCGGCAATTTCTCTTAGATAAAATTAATTGGGGATTTGGTGGGATTCGAACCCAGGACCTCAGGGAATAAAGTTCTGTGCTCTAACCAATAGACCAGCTCGCTCCAAAAAACAAATATAGCTTTGCCATAGTGTTATTAGTTTCATGTTTTATTCTTAAATCCCATATGGATAATTCTTTTGCTAAGTAAGAGCAGCCTTTATAGTTTTGCAAGAGGATAACCTTATTTATCAACAAACTTTTAGGAGACTTGTGAATTAACTAGAGGTGTGCAAACAGCTCGATTTTCGAGCCGAGCTGAGCCTAGCACTAAGTAAAAAAATTTTTTTTAAATATGTGTTTGCTGACATTGTAAATGACGACGATGGCGATACCGCAAAGACAGAAGACAATGATGATGTCTGGAGTCTATGACATTATACTGTGGATTGAAAACAGTACGCCATATTTAATTTTCATACATTTACTCTCACATCAGTTTTGGATCATGTCTTATTGGAGCAACTCGGTAAATAAATTCAAACAGTGTTCTAACAAAATAAGAGCCATAGAAGTTATTCTTTAACTAAAATATGATCAATCCGCCAAAGGAGAACACTTTGTATATTACAAGACATAAATGAGAAACAATCCCAACTCATTATATATTAAAATTTTACAAGAAAAAACTACATATTTGGGATAGACATGTTCTTTTTATTTACCAGAAATAATTAAGTATGTAAATAATATTGATAAATTTAAGAACAAACTAGCAGAATTCATAATAATCAAACCTGTTTATTCTTAAGATGACTTTTTCCTTCTCTGTTCACAACAGAACTGATTATATGGCAAAATTCATTATTTAAAAAAGCTCGAGATACCAGCTCGAGGCTCAAGCTCGGGCTCGGCTGGATTGAAAGTCTGAGGCACGCATACCTTTAGTAATAAAAGAAATCAATTAAAACTAATGATACTTGTGGCAGGTGATCACGTGGTCACTAGGAGAGTTCTGCCATCACTTCACTGTACAGCAAAGTGAGCCGCAAGGCAGCTGGTTGTCCTCCCTGTCCTCTATGGTGGGCAACATGTTCATCTCTGATGACCTGGAGACCAGGACCCAGCAGATCAGGTCAGAGGCACAATAAATCCTGCAAGTCACATTCCAGTTCTGGCTGGTGCCTCTGACTCAAATGAACTATCTAGACTGGGTGATAGGAATATCAGTCATGTCGAACATTAAGTAACAGGTGGGAAAATACTGGCCCTTCTGGCAAAGCATCTTTGAGCTTCCTGAAAGAGCTTTCAGAACATCTTAAAAGAATTGTGAACATTGCATCACTTAATAGACTGTAGACATCAAGTAATCACAGAAGTACAAGGCAATGGACAAGGTTGTAGTCCACGCTTAATTGACAAGCTCCTGGCTGTAATATCATTACTTTTTGGGTATTTTAAGACCACCTGTCAGTATATTATTACAATACATTTTCTTATATTTTTGATTTTACAATAAATTGTTTGACAATAAAGGGTTAGGGTAATAAATATATATATATATATATTATTTTTCAATTGGTTTAGTTATCTTTTAAACCACAACAGACGATGTATAAGTCAACATTTCAAGTCAATTATGGCAACATTATTTACATGTTGTATCTAGAGCTAACAATGGCCTGCTGCTAGCGTTGTATGAAGCTGTGCATCTCAACCGCAACTTCGTAACTACTCTGACTCACTCACAGACAGAGACCAGCACTCCCCCCTCCCCCTCCAACACCATCACAGCAGGTGAACCACTGGAGGTACCACAACCCTCCAACCTTCTAGTCACCTTCCTGCAATACTGGTAAGCCTACGTTTGGTTGAACAACTCAGTTTTTCTAGTTTTCCTTTACAGACCAGGCTAAGAAACTTTCTTTTCCTATCCTTTCTCTTAGGACATTTAGAACTTAAATGGTCTACCTTTTAAGCTTTTGCACAAATTTTCTTAAATGTCTTTGTTCCCTGACAGACCAGCCAAAAAACTTTTTTGACTACCTTCTCTTTGGGTGCTTAGAACAAATTACCTTATTTCTCAACCTTTTGTTTTTTTTTTCCATTTCAGACCAGACTTCAATTGTTTGTCTTAATAATTAACTTCTGGAATTCTATAACAAAAGATAAAGTTTATTTGTATCTTTTATTGATGTTTTATGTATGATCAAAACGACCCAGTTAGTTAATATTCACAAGTATTAGTGTTATCGATGCATTCTAAATGCAAAATTAACTGATTATAAATCCAAAATACTGCAATAGTGTAAGGTAAGCTGTTTGCAAACATATAAACAGTAAGTGAAGGAAACAAAAAAATCATCTATGGCCTAGTCAATATTAGAGCATTCTCATAAGAAATATTAAGCAATAACACGTCATTGTAAAGAACACAGTTATCACATTACTAAAGGGCAGAAGCATCTATATATTAATAGTTCAAATTATTAGGCACTCGCATTTGGTTCAGAGTTTTTTTTTTTTATGTTCATATCAAGATATAGCTTTTTAACTTACATTTGTACCTGTTAATCAGTTCCATAGTAATGCAAGACACCAAGTCAGAAGCCAGTGTGAACAATGTGAAGCTGTGTTTCATCATACTGACGTGCATCTCTGAGGACCAATACGCCAACTCTCTGATGCATGATGTCAACCTAGTGTTCAAAGTACAACTCCACCGCATGCCTATGAGACATCGCAAATTTGTACCTGAGAAGGGAGCACAACCTCTCGCCAACACCCTCATGGGTGAGTTGCACATAGTCAACATTGTACCAGGCCTCTTAAACGTTTCTTTGGTAAAAACCGATGTAATTATTATGAGGCCTGTTAGGATACAAAATAATGCTAATACCTTTTCAATTATCACATTACCTATGACTATGACACGTTAATTATGACTATTGGATACTGTGTAGACACCATCTATATGGACCAGCTGTCAAAATTGTTTTACTAAAAAAGTAGTAGTAAGAAAGTTCACTTGGTTGGTCACTTGGAAGTTGACTTGGTAAGAAAGTTCAACAGAAATCAGTGATTTAGATCAGAATAATCTGTTGGTGGCTCACATCAATTTTGTTTTTATGGACCGTGTAAAAAAATGTTTTATACAAAAGATATAGTGGAATGAGCTACTAGAGTGCGCTTGTGTCTAAAATTTAAATTTGAACTTTGCTTATTTTACATCTAAAACTGGTGACAACTTTAATATGGACATGGGATGTCTAGTTGAATAGTCAAAGCTATTTATCAGTTATGCCACCTTGGCCTTTGCTGTTGAATCCTTCTCCTGACCTTTCAAACTGAAGTTACAAACACTCAAGGCACAAATCCTCTCAGTTATTGATGTGATGTAACTATAAGCTAAAAAATATATTGTGGATTGAAACAAGTAAAAACAAAATTGTCTTGTATTGTTTTGAGTAATTTCTATCATGTTTTAGACCTTCTGGTTGAGTTTATCATGAGCCACATGATGAAGAAGCTGTCCTTGGAGCTGTACTTGCAGTGTGTGGGAGTTGTACACAGAGTGTTGTGTTACCAGAAGAGATGTAGAGTTAGACTTATGTATCAGTGGAAGGAGCTCTGGACGGCTCTCATCACTCTGCTCAAGTTCATCCTGGCTAATGAGAACCATCTAGCCAAGAAAATGAACATATTTCTGTTAGGTTTACAGGTAACTTATTCTTCATCAAGTGAAAACTTTAATCCTTTTAAGTTTAATGACATTCGTACAAATAAATTATAACAACAAATACAGTTGTCTTTAAGGTTGGTTTTTAAATGAATTAGGGATGGACGGGATTGAATTTTTAGTTCGGGACGGGACGGGACGGGATTTTTTTCTGTGCATAAAAAGAAAGACTTGAGTATTGCAGTTACCAAAAAAGGCATACAAAATCAATCTTTACCGTTTGTGGCACTGATCTATAAAAACCAAAAAATGGGTAACAATTTTTCAGGTACCTGTAGAAACTTGTGACTCGCGGTCGAAAGGACTCGCGGTCACGGTGCGATCGTCGGTATGACTCACGGTCACGGCGCGATCGTCGGTATGACTCTGCGGTCACGGGGTGATCGTCGGTATGACTCCGCGGTCACGGCGCGATCGTCGGTATGACTCACGGTCACGGCGCGATTGTTGGTATGTCTCCGCGGTCACGGCGCGATCGTCGGTATGACTCACGGTCACGGCGCGATCGTCGGTATGACTCCGCGGTCACGGCGCAATCGTCGAAACGACTTCGTCTCCTGCGTTCGCGGACCTATCGCTCGCAATAGCGGCGTCATCGGCACTCGCGAAGCGGCAAAATCGCCGGCGATCGGACCAAATCCCGTCCCGAAACATTCCCGAATCAAATTCAATCCCGTCCCGATAATCGGGAATATTTTTTTCCCGAAAAATTCTCGAAATTTCGGGACCCGACCATCCCTAAAATGAATGAACACTTAGCTGAGGAATACATTGGGCAAGAAGGAATGGATACACAAGTAATGTATTATTTCACCCCTACAATTAAGCAATACATAAATTTCAAATTAATTGTGTTATGTAAAATGTTTGTGCTCTATCAACTGCCTTAAACTATTTTCTTGGGTAATGCTCCTCCACACACCACGGTTTTTGTCATCCAGTTAACCCTCCGAGTGTCCATAGTTTAGGCCTTAATGTCCGCCTATTTTTGGCGCATTTGCAAGGTTTTATTAAAACGGATCTGAGAATCTTAAACAATGTTAATTCTACTGTTCTATATACCATTTTGTTTGGAAAATCATGGGCTTCAATATCATACATAAAACATAAGGAATATTTGTTTCAAAAAAATTTCATAGGTAAAAAAAATTATTTTGGAAAAATTGAAAAAAAAATTAAGTTCGTGCTCAATGAAATTGTATAAATTATAGGCCTATAAATATTTGAAAATAGCCACTTTGTTCTAAATTTTATGAGGATTACAAATATATAATAATATAAGGAAGTAGATTTGCAAATAAATAAGTTATGGGCAAAAAACAGATTTCAGTACATAGCGTTTAGCTAAGAATGCATAGCCTAACCATAGCTAGGAATCTGGCTGATAATTTACATCAATATCACTACTTCTTCTTCAGGATCATCAACCAGCCCTTCAAAATCACTTAAATCTTCTTATAATGCACCACGTATATCACTACTTTTGATGTTTAACACTAAAACAATTATAAACGTAATAAAACACATCAGTCATCGGTCCGAGGTTAACCAAGCTGTTTACAAATACGCACGTCAGCTGTCTGCTACAATATTTTTGGAACTAAAATGAATAGCGCTTAGAAACAGACCTCTGGAGAAAGCTTAGAATCTAACAAAAAGAACGATACCTAACTCGATCCAGTTCAATCCGATTCAGTCAGTCATAGAGCCTTCGCCGTAAACGATGTTCGTGTGTCAAAAAATCGACTCACGACACACTTTGTGTAGTGTCGAAAAGTGACACTACACAAAGTGTGTCGCGAGTCGATTTTTTGACAAGTGACGCTCGGAGGGTTAAAAACCGTACGAGCATTGTTTTTAGTAGTGTGCAGAAGAGCATGAGAACTTTCAAGATTCCAGCAACGGCAGATAACTGTGCTGTCTTTGCAGCCGTCCACTGCCAAGGTTGTCGCGCTGCGGAATTGCGTCAGTAATTAAATTTGCTAAATTTTAGTAACATGCGAGCTTGCACATTGTACAGTTTGTAATCGGTTGTGAGCCTGTCCCCCCTTGTCTATTGGGCACTGTTTTTGTGTATTTTCAGTATTTTCTCTTTTGTAAGTATCAGTTAACCTTTTTAGTGCCTTTCTTTATGTTTTGATATTTTCAACTATGTATAATATAGAAACCGAAGTATTAATCGACCAAATTTAATCCAAACTAGAGTTATAGCTATGGGATAAAACAATATTATGGGGTTTATTGGATGCACCTATTGAAGACAATTTCATTTACCCGTTTTAAAATGTCGGTGAAATAGTCACAATGCAAAACTATTTATGATTCTTTGTTTTGGTTGGCGACAACACCAGAATGAGTTTGAGAATTGCAATCACATTTAATCAATTCAAAGTGAATTGTCTGACATTTTAGACCTTCATATTTTTAAAGAGGTTAAGTTACTTTTGAGACAAGTGGATTTTTGTTCTCCGTTTTAGTATGTTTTCCTATTGGGAAGCTATTCCTATTTAGTCTTCATGGTTACATCCTAGGTCTGAAATCGTACTTTTTGTTGTACTTTCCCCAGAATCCTAAAACCATAAAACGCCCTTTATTCTATCTAACTGTTATGTGTGTGTATGTTATTTGTGTTTTTGGATAATCTTAGTAAATACTCTCCTGATTCTTAAGAAATCTAAATCAAATGTGTAAACCAACATCTATATAGGTGTATAAATAAGTTTCCAAACCAGCCCAATTCCACATGATTAATCTATTTGACTCTTTCTTCAATTGAAATAATAATGAAATAATGAAATAATGACTTTATTCCCCAAATACAAGTTTTTTACATTACAAATCAAATTCACCTTGGAACTATGTTGTCACAGTCTCCAGTATTTGTGACAACATGAAAGAAAAAAACACAGTTATTTATAAGTAAAATTTATTGAGTGGAGCGAGCAAAGCTCTTATAAATCCACTATTATGCATTTCGTAATACGCAAACTCCTCCTAGACGGCTGAAGCAAGCAATCGTTTTCAAATTTTGCATGATGATAAAGACCATATCAGTGAATGCTAAAATTTATTTGTCGTTGAAAAAATCTCTCAGGAATCCACCCCACGGGCCTCAAAGTTACAATGTAATCCTTATGGAAGCAGTATTTGACACATAAACAAAGGCATAAGATCAGCTGTTGACTTTTGAATGCAGTAGATCAAGAAATAGCTGATAGCATTATTCCACAGATATTAGAACAGAAACGGTATGGATCATAAATATAATCAAATGACGACAATAGCTTGAATCTTATACTAATAGCCTTAACATCTGGTTTGGATGTTTATTGATACAGTTCCATTTTGAATAATAAAACATACATGTTTGCTTTTGGTCCATCCAACTGAATTAACATTTCAAGTTGAGTTTGAAATGTTCTAAAGCTTACTTGGAAAAGCTTATGTAATCTTTTTAGTAGCCCGTATATTAGCGTCAGCGATGAATTGGTTTGTTGATTAATTACTAATTAGTAGGTATATGAATCTTGTATGGTTTTAAAGGAACAGAACATGGTAATACATACAGCTTTTTAAATAATAGCGTCTTAGTTGATATTGTGTTTTTTTTTTCATGCGATAGGCTTACTTGTGAAAAACATGAATTTTTAATATTATTAGCTTTCATAAAAATAAGGTATGAGTTAGTTTTAGTTGGAATGAAAAGTTGAACACGTTAACAAAGTTTACATATCATCAATACACCGGTTCCTATGAATAATTGTGGATTTTATGATGTGTTTGAAATGCCGCTAGCAAATAATTTGATGTTGTCAAGGACCACTAGGAAGCACAACAATTTTAAGCCAACACTTGCAGCTTAATCTTTCTCTTCGATCACTTTCCGATTGATTATACAAATTATTAACGTGTAACACATGAACTATGGTATTAAACGGTGGATATAACTGTTGCAACATTTTTTTTTATTTTCAAATGTTCATATTAATCAAAATCAAAATACAGTCTAATTATAATTTATTTAAGTCAATCTATAAACTTTATATTGTAAAAAAAAACATGTTAAATTGTTTTACTGAGTATATTAAGATAGTTGGCTAGTTAGTTATGTTTTAGTAGTTATGAAAGTCTCAGATTTAAGAGAATGCCTTATATTTTGTGCTTTCACTTATATTATCACCATCACATGAAACCCTCTTATGCAGTTATCAGTAGCCAAAATGGTAGAATATGAAACTGTTAGGGCTGATTTCTAGGTTGTCAGTGTAGCTGAAACTGTACCACCCTGTTTGAGAAAAAGTTTATGACCAACCCAGTCTCAAAATGTTCAAAAGGTTTAAACTTAAAATGTAGGCTAAAATCAGGTCTCCGGAAAGGTCTGAAATGATATCTCTGTGTTTTTTTACTCCCCTTCACTAGAAAACAATGTGTAGCCAATCTAATTACCCCAATATTTATCTCAACATAAACGTTGTCTTTACTTAAAATTGTTGGTAGAAATAATTATGTAGCTCAATGGACAAGGTCAATAACAATATAATATGGACCCTGATGACTCCGCTCAATTTTATGAATGCCTCTGCGAACACTACCTAGTTTACAAATGCATAAATGTGTTTTTTTTTTCATTGCTGAAACCAGTTTAAAAGACCATCTATCTACTATATTACAAACTGAAAAACTTTGCACAATTTGCACAGGTGACAGAAGTGTTGTGTTTCAGGTAGTGAATATTTTCAATTTGTTTATAACATACGGAGACACATTTCTGCCCTCCCCCAGCAGTTATGATGAGCTCTATTATGAGCTGATTCGGATGCATCAAGTATTTGACAACATCTACTCTACAGGTATATATCAGCTTAAATGAGTTTAAATTATGTTTGCCCTCAAGAGTTTCAAAATAAAAATCATGTAGCAACAAAATTTTGGGGTTAGTCAAGTTTTTGTATTGATTTGATTTGATTTGATTTGATCAATCTAACAAAAATCATTTCAATGCTTCTTTGCTTGACAAATAATATTTTGTTCCATAAGGTAATAAATGTCATAAAGTTCAATCCTCACAACTTGGATAGTACTACAATGACAAAATTTTACGGTAGTTCTTATTATTCTATTCCATAAGTACGGTAATCATTTGTTGGAGTCCTGGACAGTGTTTGTACTATATTGCAGTTGTATTGAAATACTTTTGCAGCTTTCAGGTACTCGACAGTTGATGGAGAGTTCAAAGATACAGCTTTACTATTAACTAATAGTCTCGTAAATGTAAGGTGAGTTTAGTTCAAATTTTCATCATTGTTTATTTTGACCTATGGGTAAAAAAAATTGTAACCCTCACGTCAATAATAGATTATAGTGAGCGTTCATCTTTAGAAATGTCAGTTGACCTGTTGCCGCAATAGCGAAGATGATCTGCAGTGTTGACAATGAGACTACAAGATATGTTCTTGAATGTTACCTTGATTGCCAGAGACAGTTAACAATGTTGCAGAGACAGCAAGATATGATCGTGGTTCAATTGCAGCAGGCAACCAAAATCAGTAAAAAAATCATTGTAAAATTTAGTTTTATTGTTATCATTCGCATTAAAAAAGGGTATATCAATTTTACTGTCAATGGTTATCCAGATATTCAGGTATCCCAACATCCCCAATCCCAACTTTTACGAATAATTGGCTTTCTACTATTGTAATACACCTTCTCGGTTGTTGTATTTCTAGTTGTGCTAGTTCACCTGCTCAAGATCTAAGTTATGAATAGCCTACTGGCTTGATTTTTGTTGTTTTTTCATAGAAATTAAAACTTTTAGTTTAGTAGAACTGAACGAACCTTTGTGTTTTTTTTTAATGCGTTTTTTGTTTTTCAGAGCGATTATTAACCACTTTACACCAAAGATTGATGCATGGTTGGAAGGACAAGCTTTGTCAACTCCTTCTGAAGATGAAGTAAGAAACATGCATTAGGTCTATTATTGTAAATCAGGGTTTGAAAAAATAACTTTGAACAAAATTGTCTGATTTGCTTAGTCATAGTGAATAACTATACTCGTAACCCCTGCATTTACTTGATTATTTGGATATTTGGACAAAACCAGTTTCATAACATACATTATTATTACAGAATGTTGATCAAAATCCGTTACGTGCCCGCATCTCTATTTTTTTCCAATTACACTTCTATAACTTATTGAAACCTTTTATAGGAAATAAATAATGAAAAATACAATATTTAGTAAAGGTTTTTGATCGTACGCTAAATTTTGAAAAAACACACAAAATAGTAGAATAACTACTGCAAATTTTAAGCTGTTCGAAAAGTTTGGCTGGTTAGGTTAGATGACACTGTTATAACAGCATATAACCTAACCCAAACAAACTTCTCGAACAGCTTAAAATTTGTTTTACGATTAACTGAACTAAAATCAGGGTGTCTACCAACCGGGAAATCCGGGAATTGTACTTAATTTTTTACTGGCCATGAAATGTACGGGAATTGAAATCTCATAAATGCCAGACTATGTCCTTAAATTTTTAATGGGCAATAATTTTATCGATCGCTAGTTGGTTAGGAGCACATATAAGGTTTATCAGATGTTTGTTTAGTTTACATTTTCATAAATTTATTACTAGGATAATTGTGCAATAAAAAACCATTAGAAGCTCAAAACCATTAATATTTTATCACCACAATCAAGTGTCAAGTCAAGTACTTCCAAGAACCATTGTGAAAGTAGCTTAGGTCATAAAAGTTTTATCACTTTTATTCCTTTACAACTTCCATTATTTTACTTGAGTAATTATTATGAGATCCCAAACCTATTTAATCATGGAAATAATAGTTTTATTATAATGGCTGTTAAATTTAACTTCTTACTTGTACTTTTATATTCTTAAACATTCAATTTGCCGCTGGCCATTGCCTACTATCATAAAACTGTTTATGGTTTCATATTAAACTTGTAACTAATCTACAGTATTATTTTGTAAGTTAAAAAATTTTTTTATTGATATTACTTTCAATTGACAAAACCACAAGCATTGTTGTTTGCATTAGGCCTAATTGTAACGCAGGCCTACTTGGTCTCAAATCATGTCATTGCATTTTCTGTATCTTTGTCTTATATTGTTGGCTGTTCAGGTTTTAATGTTTTTGTTTCCTATATTTATTTATTGTGATATATGCTTTAAGCAATCTAAATCTTATGAACTAGAATGATGATGGTGACTTTGCTGCTATTATAACCTCATTGTTTGTCACTCAGTTGATATAGCCCCCCCCCCCCCCCCCCTAAATAATTTATAGGTCTAGGCCTGGGTATTTTTATTCTTTGAAAGAGTTGTAGAATATACTAAGAAAATGTAATTGATTCCAATAACTTTGCAAATGAAAAGACAATAATCTTTCTCTGTGCTTACTGGTAGCCGCTTACCATACCGATTTTCTACCGAGAACCGAGGTACAATCACAGAAAACATACTACTATAACCCAGAATGCCAACCGCATGGTAAAAAGCATTAAGTGTTTTGAGAGAGCTTTGCCTGTCAATTCGTAGGCAGCGCCACCAGCGTTGCTATGCTGAGTGCATGGCAACGCTGGTGGCGCTGCCTACGAATTGACAGGCAAAGCTCTCTCAAAACACTTAATGCTTTTTACCATGCGGTTTGCATTCTGGGTTATAGTAGTATGTTTTCTGTGGTGCAATATATGTATTAAAGATTTGTTTCAAAAGTAGCCGAGATCTTAACGTTGTGCTGGGGCGAATCATACCTAACTAATCCACATAGATCGGATATGATATGATAATGTTTCCATGACCGATCGAGATATTCAGGATTTTATCGCCATTGCGGTAGACGATGATTGGGTTTCTCTGTTACACTAAAGCTTTATCCGAAGTAAATGTTCGCTCATTTCAATAAATTTCTATTTTGAAATTTAACTCTTGTCTATTATTACTTACTTTTCTCTCTGGTACAACTACAGTGAAGAACAATATTAATACTGTTTGACAAATCAGGAAAATATATTCGGTAATTGGTGCGAGAACTGTTACGACAAAGTGTCCTTAAATGTACGGGAATTGTCCATGAATTTTTTATCCAGAATGTAGTAGACACCCTGTAAAATTAATCGTTATCTCATTGTTGCAACAAAGTCAACAGTGATTCATTCATTCATTACCGTGGGCCGCTGCTGGCGATGCTTCAGCGAACCGAGTCAGATAAGATAAGATCAGCACTAATGCCGTCATAAATACCTGAAAATGATTCCATTCTACTCATCAAAGTACTCTGTCATTGAAAAACTACGTTTATTACACTTTAAAATGTTCATATTAACAATAACAAGTTATGGAGTTGTGGTCACGTAACGGATTTTGACCCAGAATGTGCAGGAATGGTGTTATTTATTTTTTATTGCATTTTTTTTTAATCAAACTGATAAAGAATCATTAGCTTACAAACACTTGTGTTACAAATAAATATGGCAGTACCATTCAACGTTATTGTGCATTATTCTGCCTGTTTAACTCATTAACGTACTTGCATTTCAAATTCCTGACAGGTAAAACCAATTTTTAGTATTGAACATTTTACTTTGTGATGTAACCTACAAACTACAATTTACAGATATTGGAAGTAGTGAGGAAGAACTACGACAGCCTCACACTCAAGCTTCAGGATAGCCTTGACCAATATGAGAGGTACTCTGAAAACCCGCAACATTCTGCCTTCTTCACCTCTATGGTAAGTAGTGATGTGTCGAATCCGAATCTCGAATCTCGAATCCATCGAATCTTTAGGAAATATTCGGATTTGAGATTCGGTCAACGAGATTCGACTTTCGAATCCTTCGAACTTCGACCCGAATAAGAATCGGCGTTAGTCAAAACACCCGCCGATGCGACGACTGTTCAAGGTCAGTTCGAGACACAGTCGTCTGCCCGTGCAATTGCATAATATTTTGAAACAGCCAACTATTTGTGGTGAACGTAAACATATGATTTTATGTCCTTTCAATGTTAAAACTCAAGATAAGATCTAATAATTAAATTTAAGTCTCAGATTTTGTCTTGTAATATATAATAATAAAAACACAATTGAATATATTACACCTGTTAACAACATTATAATTTACTAAATAAAAACAATCATAATAAAAAATCATACAAAAGAATTAATATAATTGGCTTTAATATTAATTGGAATTAATATAATTCCAATTTAAATTTAGACCATTGACCTAAATATCATGATTGTGCAATGTTGTATTTTGATGTTATAAATGCAAATCATGGCATTAATTTGAATATATTTGTAGTTAATTCAAATTATATGTTTGATGATTCAAAGTTTCTACATGATAAAAGAGAATCTAAAGTCAAACCGGGCAAAGGATTCCCGAAAATACAACTGTTATCATATCATTGTCCTGCTAATTAGAATCCCCCCAAGCCAGCCCTCTAGTCTAAATATAGCTTCAAGGTTGCACCCTCCCCTCCCCCTCCCCCCCCGCGCCATCACAATTCGCTGTGGCCCGCTCGTTTCGAGGTCATTGTCCAACCCCTCCCACCCTTCTATTGTTTTGCTTTTCCAGTATTATTATTCTGACTTTTTCTTTAAACATTAAATTAAATAAATCATGGAAGTCGTAAAGGAATAAAGTGATAAAACTTTAATGAACTAAACTACTGACTCAACGACTTTGGTTTTGGGACTGCTGATGGGTTTTTTATTGCCCCATTACCCTAGTAATAAATTATGAAAATCCTAAACAAACATCTGACAAACCTTTTTATGTGCTCCTAACCAACACAGATAATTGAAAGTAACTAATTGTTATAGTCTGTGCCGAACCAAAAATGTACTGAGGAAAATACTGTACCGTACCCGACTTTAACGGTGCAACGCAATTAATTTTTGACTCTTCTTTCTTGTCTCGTTATCATACAGAGTGTATGCAATTTGAGCATCGTATAGAAAACGGGTGGTGAGTCGAGGGTCTTTGACCTTGAGAATGCCTGAGCCTTGCTGGAGTGAAGACAATGGTTTATGGTTTGTTTACATCCTACTACCCTCTTTTATTTACTTCGATGACTTAAACGCGATGCCAGTCTATTATATTCTTTGGTCGCTGGTATTACCACAGATTATGATAATTTTCTCAAATTGTAAAGTTCATCAATATTTCTGGTACTTTAATTTAATGTTGATTGATCCATTTTAAAAGGAATTTGTTAATGTTTTACAATACTTTCGAGTGTCATGCCATGAAAAGTAATCCAGTTTTTACATTAGACTCAGACTCTTGACCAAAGAGGATGTTTTGAACGGTTTAAGTTCCTTCATTGTGTATTGTTCCTACTTTTGTTTGTTTAGTTGAGTTGTTATTGACTATTAATTTCTAAATATTTGTCCTTAATTAGATAACTATCCCTTGCACAAATTAAATAAAGAATTCATTAAGGACTTGGGATTTGTTAATTTTGTGTTTTGTTCAAGTTTTCATTTGTTAATTTTAATTTGTCTCCCCAGCTTGTAAACCCAGCTATTAAATTTCAATTTTTAAAAATTATGTTTTTGGCATTATTTAATTTTCTACACCTTGATTATTTACATAATTTGAATTGGCAAGATTGGTATTATTGGTATACTTGACATTTCATTGAGTGAACGTAGCCTAAACTGTAATTTTTCTTAATCACACACAAAAAGATTCGATTTTTGAACAAATCTAAAAGATTCGAGATTCGAGGTTTGATTTTTTAAAGATTCGGATTCGAGATTTGTAATTTCTGGATTCGTCCATCACTAATGATAAGGTTTTCCTGCCGTGTAAGCAGTCAATCATTATATTTGAATTAAGCATGTTATTACACAAGTGACCAATTGGTTGGTTCCACAGGTGCGAAGTGTAGTCGTCGACACAAGGCAGAACATAGACTATGCATCTCTTGACCTGCAAGTCATCCTACAAGAACTGTCATCAATCACATGAACCAAAACTGACAATGCTGTTGCCTTATTAATATTTATTTTGTGATTTCGTGTTAACTTATTATTATTGTATTCTACCATCTGTACCAGAAAAGAACAGATTTTTTACAATATTAATAAACTTTTTAACAATGTTTTCGATCAAAATATCAATTGTAACTCAATTGCCTGTCGGTTTTTAGGTAAAACAAACAATCTTAGTATTCTGTATTTTTTATAAAATGATTATTATTATTACATCAAAGTAGCTGTAATTAGCATGTTTAGGATTCTGAATCGTTTTAAATAAATTTAGCATTTTCAAAGTTTAGATACCTAGAAGATGATTTATTCTTTTAAGTATTTAATTATTATTATTTATCTACAAAGTGTTAGGTTAATAATTATGTTGTGTGTTTTAAATAAAAATGTTTGTTCAGTAAAAGTTATTTATTTCACATTACACCTTTTAGAATCCTTTTATCTTAGTTGATTAAGAATTTGATTCAGTGCTCTCATGATAGAGGCAAGGCCATATGACTTAGGTACAAAATGCGTAGGTAGCCTAGACCTAGGGGTTACGGCATTATCACTTAGATAAAATCCAGTGGCGATTTGGCGGGATTTGAAACCTTGACCCCAGGAACCGGAGTCCAGCGCTCTAAACACTAGACCAGCTCGCTCCCCCTTTTTTTTAACCTCGCAAGAAGTTTGGTTGCTTAAGTTAGATGACACTGTTCTAATCAACTAAACTTCTCAAACAGCTTAAAATTTGTTTTTTGAGTAACTATAAACTAATTAATGAATTAATTGTTATCCCATTGTTGCGACTACGTCAACAGTGATTCATTACAGCGGGGGCGCTGCTGGTGACGCTACAGCAAACCGTTATCATCTCCCAGACAGATAACATAGCACCAGCAACAATGTCGCCGTAAATGCCTGGAAAAGATTCCATTCTACTAAACAAAGTACTCAGCCGTTGAAAAAACTACGTTTTGTATACTTTAATGCTCATATTAACAAGTTTTTGGAGTTGTGGGCAGGTAACGGATTTTAGCCGATATAAGCCCTTTTGTTGATTCTTTGTAAGAATTTTTTTTAATTTACTGGTAGGTTTTTTTTTAGAAGACATTAACATTCAAGCAGTTAAAAACTGTAAACAAATATCACACATTTATTTAACAAATATAATATAACAAGGTACACTAAACAGGTTTGAAAATATTACCAAAGATATTTAGAATATGTAAATGTTTACAGAACCATTTGATATCTACAAAAATAAGCTTTAAGAAAAGAAGTTTAAATCACTAAATGAATCTCGCATCTACATATATCTACAATTGAATGTATATGTAAAAACCATATACGTATTAATTTACAAGCAATACTTCATGTCAAAGCATTTATAGGTCAGTCGCCCAACAAATATGAGTTTTATTTATGCTTAGGTTTTCTGTTGCATGAAACATTTTGATATCACAATGTCATTGTAATTCAAATGTAATGTTGTACAATAAATGCAGATTAGCAGGAATATAAACGAATACATAAGACGGTCTTTTTCCATTAATTCACTACACCACTAATTTTTTTAATTGTAGTTCCGTTTATTCACTACCTACCAGAATTTGTTCATAATCAGCAAGTTTGGTTGGTTAGGTTGGTTTGGAATAGTTTCATTTTATAATTGATGTATTCAGAAATATCGGAATTGCAATAAACAAAATTTTTGCCATATACTATGGTATGGGGGAGAAAGTAAAAGTAGTGGTGGTGAATTAACGGAAAAGAACCCATATGCACCTGAAATTGGGCACATTTATCCAAAAGCATTACACAAAGTTCACCCAGACAGTGTTTCAAACAGCTACCATTTAGAGTAGACTGCACAAATATGGTCCGATAGAAAATGCAACATTTGTTAATAGTGGTCATTGGGTTGGGTAGAATAGAAACTTTGTATCAAATATTTTCAGACCAAATTGCATAAGGTCTACTTAGTTGACTGTACATATTTGCAACATAACAAGATTAGATGATTTTAGGTATTGCAAATTAAAATTAACTTACCCTTTGTTTCATTTAGAACAAATTTGAAATCACAAACATACAAGAGTCTTAAAGGAATGCTAGTTGAGATTGTAGGCTACAAGTCGTATCTAGGCTTCTTGTAGGATGAGTGGTAGGCGGGTGGCTCTAGCGGATAGTTGATGTATGAATGTCCAAAGTAGGGGACAGCTGCCCAGGATGTGGAGGGAGAGGCATCTTGATACTCCAACATCTCGGGGTCTAGTGACTCCAGCTTCATGTCATCATCCAGACAACTCTGCAGGTGGTAAATGTATCTAATTGCCATTCTGAAACCAATTGAATTACAGAGTTGAACTGGCTCAGCCACATTTGGGCAAACATACTAACGTATTTCTTGAAAAATTAGCATCTCTTTCATTCCCTGATGAGTACTCAAAGTATTCCCATTCTCTAGTGAAATGCCAGCCTCTTATCATACTTGAATTATAACAAAATCTCTCAAATATTTATTCATTATTAGTCACCTCATTATACCTTAAGGATAGATAGTTTTGAGAAGGGTTAAAATCTGAAAATGCAATTTTTTCTGAGGATTTAGGCCTGAGTCCTAGTATAGCATTGTATTCCCAAGTTAGACAGTAATTTCGTAAAATGTTCGTTAAAATTGCTTAATTAATACTGCATATTCAGAATTTCCTCATAACATTTTAGAGTAGAATGTGTGTTAACAGCATGTTTCTATCATGTAATGGTTCGCAATAAATGACCGTTGTTTCCCATGGTGCTTCCATCTCCCCCCCCCCCCCCCAAGCTGGGGGAGGGCGACAACATCAGGTTTGGTTACCTCCAGGATGCCCCAACAACTAAATGCCAAAATGTGTTACACTTTCAGGTCATTCTCAATCCCCTTTACTGGACTATTACTGTAAAAGCAAAAAAATTACTTCTAAATATTTTGTGAGTCAAATCTATAATTGAAGTGAAATCTTGAATGTTTACGGTACGATTTTGATTAACCTCTGATTATTTAATTTTTTAATTGTTTTTTTAATGTTAACAGGTGTGATATGCTCAAAATGTTCAAATTCTACTCAAGCAATGATTCTACGAAGCCGCAAATGAACATTTTCTAAATAGTTTTACTAAAACAATTATATTTAAATTAAATTTTCTCAAAGTTTTACTAATTTTTGCAGCTATTTAAAATTAAAATTACATACAAATGGTTGAGTGCTTACCTCAGGGTTTCTATCTTTGACAACTTCTTTCCTGGAGGTTTACAGATGGGCAGTCTGCTACGTAGAGCTTCATACGCTCTGTTCATGTCCCTCATCCTAGACCTCTCTCTGTCACATGCAGTCTTCTTATAATCTACAAGAATATGGCTTTGTAACTGTGTGTTTTTTCTATCAAATTAGAATACTCTATCTAATTCTATATGACTTATTTTTAAATTATATTAATAGCATAGTTCAATCAGCAGTCAGGATTCAATAGTTATATTAATAGCAGCAATGTATGTGTGTAGGTTTAACAAATAGATTTGGTTTTTTTAATAGTGTGTCATCTTGAGCTGTATTAAAACATTCAAAAAGTAACAGAATGTTTATTTAAATGTGGATAAGGAAGGAGCGAGGTGACTGACCTTTGTCACTTTCAGGAGTTCGTAGCTTCCAGCTCTTGGTCAACGGCCGAGGCAGCTGAGGTGGGTTGAGGTTGCGACCGTAGTTGTAGTTCATCGATGAATGGAGCAAAGTCAAATCCTTCAGCTCGCTAGACCCCGGCTCAATCTCCTGGTTCAACAGTTTGAAAGAAAATCACTAAACTGTACCAAAATATGATTATAATACTTGATCAACTCAAACCTTTGGTTTAGATTTTCTAATAAAATATTCTGCCTGTTTTACAAATAAAAAAATATTGGTTGCAGATAAACTACCAAAACTAAAGAAGGGAAAGCAAATACCTTTACAACCATCTTCAAAAACACATTCGATCAATTGGTATGACTGTAACCAAAGTACATAACTTGGACCAGATACACGTAAGGTGTTAAACACCTTCCAATAATTTTCCAAAAAGCACTTGTTTCGCTTACCTGTTCATTGCACAGCTGCAGCACACTCATAGTGATGAGTTAGTCCAACTGAGCAGCCACCTCACCATGCATTGCACACTTGATCATCTACAGCACCTGATCAAACACGGCCACTGATCCACGACTAAACTATCCACATTGAAATTAACAATCATTGGGGGGAATTAGCGTTCAAAACTTTACACTATAGTAGTATCATACAGGGTAGTAGTTGTGTCTTCCAGGGTACAAATTAGTTATATTTTTGCACAAAACTTTTAATTAATTCAAAAGGTGTTTCTATGACCTCTGTCAGAAATTATTTATACTTACTTATTTAAAATTGCAAAACTCTTCACTTCAGTAATCAATCTGTTTCCATAACATCTGAATCTTGGCGGTAAATTATTATTAGCTAATTTCCCATATAGGGAATAATAAGCTATTGCCATACGTCACATGGTTAGACCAGTCACCCTGGACCGATTTACTTTTTGATTTTGGTGTACCCAGAGGCCAAAAACACCATTCGTTCAAATTTCTATACTATTTGCTGACTAGTATAATTTGTATACTAGTTGCTCTGCCCGTGCTTCACAACGGGTAGGGAACACATTTGGTAGAAACAAGTAAACCTAAGTTTTTCTGAACGAGTTCGCAAACTAGCATAATTGCAGTATGGGAACGGGGGGGGGGGGGGGAAGTGAGCTGGTCTAGTGGTTAGAGCACGGGATTTACGTCCCTGAGGTCCAAAGTTCAAATCACCAATAGATTTTATCAACTGTAAGTGATATTGCCGCAACCCCTGGGCTAGACCCAGAGGTTGCGTGTTGACGTTACCTTTAAGTTATGTGAAAAACAATCCCGGGCTGGTGCTTAGCATCCTAGGAAAAAAACGTATGCGACCGGGGTATTACGGTGTCAAAATTGGTTTTTCTGATTTTCGGAACGCCAAAACATACAATTTTTTCCTAAACTGTTTTGTAGAGCTTAACCAACACGTTAATTATTAAAATTAAATTGGTTTATGCAAAAACAACCAATATTTAAAGAAAATTGTAAATACGATTTCGATTTAACAAGTTTGTTACTAATAAGACGTTCAAACTGTTGATTCCATCGAAACAGTAATTTAAACAATGCTGACTTTGTTATTCTTCATTGTTCATTCTTTTGTATAGTTTCCACAAAAGGAATGATATCACAGTGTGTCTTAAGATATTATTCAATTTAACTTATTGGTTGGCAATTGGTATTCAAAGAAATAATATAACCTAACCAAACACCAAACAACCATCATTCCACATTATAATTTTTGTTTATTGACCTGTTGAAAAGAAATTTATACTGTAAACATTTTTTGACAAGAATGACAAGAATAACTTTTTAGGTTTTAAGACAAATGTCAAACTGTAAAAAGGCGTCTTGCATAAAACTTAGATTCAACCAAGTGGCAATATTAAACATGGTAGTTGGGTATGTATACTACAGTCCAACCTCAGTATAACGAATCTGAAGGGACCGAACTGAATATTCGTTATATCAAGGATTTCGTTAAAACGAGGTTCGTTATATAGAGGTTATGTTTGCAGGAATTTCGCTAAGTCGAGGTTCAGAACCAGCGTCGGTCAATATAGGTCGGGATTAGACAAAACACAATTAAAGTAGCATAGGCTACAATACTTTACAGTACAGTGTTTACATTGTACAGTAGAACCTAAATCATCCGGCATAAAAAAGGGGAGGGATCTTGAATATTGCGCAATCATGACAATGGCATTGACCTTGGTATAGGTTAAAAACTGTAAGTTTAAAATTACAGCTTGTTCTAACCCTCCTAAAACCTAGCCAAACACTGTATTGCGTAGTCATAAACCATGTAAAGAACAAAACAAAACAGTAGTAGAAAGTTTTGTAAGCTACTGCTCGTGATAGGCCGGTAGGCTACTTAGAGTACAGTACTGATTTATCACAACAGAGGAATGTCAATAATAATCATTAAATATAGCATTGGTGTTGCTAGTTGAAACAAATCGTATTGAAAACAATAAATTATTAGATAAGTCATTATAAAAGTGTATAATCATAGCCAACTTAAAGATAATAAAAACACTCGAAAAGGAATGTTAAAATAACGATTTTGCTATTCTTTCTCTTTGGTTTTGTTTTTATATTCTTTCTTAGGTTTCTCTTTATCCAAAAATTGTACAATTCACGATAGTTACTTATCGCCAAATCACAGCTTACTAAACATTAAGTCGTCATCAGTCCTCAGTGAATAGTGAATGAAATCAGTTCTCAGTTGCAACATAGCGCGCGCAGCGACAGCAGACAGAGAGATGTGTTAAAAACGGAGCAGACGAATGTTAGTGCAAGCGATGACGTCACCTTTCATTTCATTTGATAAAGAAACAGATTTTTCAAAAACAATAATAGGGTGGGGGATTTGTTTTATCGAGGGAAAGACGTAGACAATTCGTTATGCAGAGGTTAAATTCGCAATGTAGAGGTTCTGACAATGATAAATTCGCTATATTGAGGTGTCTTATTATAGCCGAAATCACAAAAAATTCGTTAAATCAAGGTTGTTGTTATGGTTTGTTCGTTATGTAGAGGTAAAATATACATTGTGTCTTATGGAGAGTTCTAGGGGATTTAAAAAAAATCGTTATATCAAGGAATTCGTTGTATCGAGGTTCGTTATATCAAGGTTAGACTGTATTGGGGTCAGAGAAGAGGTGTTGCCTACTGTCACCCCCTCACACCTGACACCTGTGTGTGTCATCGTTAGCTCACATTGAACTGAACAATACTGGTCCAATCAGTCAACTCAGAACTAAAACAGACTGGAGACTATGGAGAGTAAATAACAACACAATGATAATAAATAGTTTTTATTTTACATGTTGAATATGTAGGGTTTGATTATGTGCAAAATACATGAATTTTTACCATACACATTTTAAAAACGGCTAAAAAATAAAACCATAATGATTCAGCCAAAATTCCAAATTTCATCATTTTTTTGCAATAAGCTAGTTTGTGAAGCACCATTGATTAAGTTTAAGTTAAATGGAGTAAGGTGGCATGTCACTATGTCAAGAGTCTAGACTTGGCCAAAGTCTCAAACTTGATAAATTTGATCAAACTTGATAAATTAAACTATTATTTAAAATATAAAAATGTATTTATTAATAACCTAATTATTGGTGGGAATGAATAAACTCATAACTGTTCAAATCTTTTATTGTTCTTCTTGATTTGTAAAAAGGTATACTGTTTCCTACTAAAAATTGTTTATGCCGATTTTTTTTTAATTGAGTGTAAAAAGGAAAGGTATTGTTTATGTTTTGGAATTAGTTTTAATTTTATGATATTTTTTGTAAAAAAAAAAATATACCTATGCTTATGGTTTTTTGTTGTAGGTGAAATCATATTGATTAGAATATTTTATAAATTGCACGAATATAAATTGTTTCTGCTCACTGATTAGCACAAGAAAGTCTGATAATTCTTGATTGATGGTAACAGAGGTTGCTAAAATTGTCTAATACTTGGTTTGAGACTTACATTCATTTTAGGTTTTTATATTTTGTTTTTTTTAGCTCTAAAGTTTTTATCACAGGATAATAGAGTACATTATTACATTCCTTTGGAGTACATTATTACCACACTGTAATAGCAAACTTCATAACAAGTGTAGAAAGTGAGACATTGCATATTTAATTTAAGACCATATGTTTTAAGTGTGAGATTAACTGAGCACTTTAAATGGTACCAATTCCACTCGTGTTTTAAACGTTACTTTTCGCTACACTTCTAAGATTTATTATTTTCTTAATTTAAACCGACATTGAATCTTTTTTTATTACAATTAGGTACATGACAAAACTCATAGCATTTTTAGGTTATGTCTTCAAATGAAAGTTTCCACTTTGGTTGTACAGTTTTGGTTGTTGAAAATTGAAACAGTAGACAAAACAATAACAAATCTTTGTTTACGTCGGCAAAATCCGAACAATAATAAATAATAAAAATAATAAAAGATAGTAAACATTACTTTTACATACTTAACATTCTTTGTCGTAGTAAACAATGTAATGATAAATTTTCACAGTTGATAAACATGTGACGAAGTTTTTAATTAAAAGTACAAAAGAAATTTGTATTTGATTATAATTAGGTTCAATTTTGAATGCGGGTAGTCCTATTAATGTCAAACAAATTTATTGCTGGTTTAATATACAACGTAAATATTTGATAAAAATTGCAAATTCAACAAATTAAATAAAATTTCTTGAAATAAAATAGCTTTATCTCAATATAAAAACTATTTACAGCTTCACATAAACTTATCCATTATCATGTAAAACATGGAATATTGTTGATGAGTACAAACAATAAATTAACAAAGAAAATGTATTTTTGATCTTCTGGTGAGAGCCGTGTCAAGTTAGTATTTACAATATTTAAATAACAATATACAGTAGCGGTATTTAAATACCGACTTGACGTGGCTCTCACTAGAAGACCCAGAATTCAGTGATGACAGCAGCCACTTATGCCTATAAATAGAAACCAACAAAATGCTTGCTTTTAATTTTTTCCAAAAATCGCTTGATTTTATTTCCAATTTTGTTTTGTTTTCAGAATTTAAAATTACAAAAACATTTTTTAAAGACAAACATAGTTTAGAATTTATTAGGGATGGACACTATGGACAGGTCCCGAAGTTTCAATACATTGTTATCAATTTGTACGTTGAGTTGTGATTAAAGAAGACTATGTCTCAAAACAAGTTGACTCAAAATCCACAGCCACTAGACCAAATCTGAGCAGCTTATTCTAATAAAAAGTTTGCTTGTTTTACAGAAATAAGTTCATCCGAAAGATTTGAGACCAGTTATCACGTGTCTAAATACAATGCTCTCCTAAATTTAAATCAAATATGTATACAGTATGCATTTAAACACGTTTTTAACAAGTTTTTGGGGACGTCGGTTTAACTGGAAAAACCGTTATCCGGACTGGCCTCGGTCCCAAGGAGTCCTGATAAGAGGGAGTCTACTTTAAAAAATATTTAACTTTTGCTTTATAAAACTGTAAGATAATGAATAAAACATTTTGTTTGTTACACAAAGTTAAGACCTCTTTACTGGTAGCAAATGCAGCTTGTAATGTAGTGGTAGTGTTGGTTATTTAGAGTTGAACCTAAGTGGCCTGGGGGTCATGAACTTGTCGACTGTTTCCTCGGTGACGGCTGCTCTACGTTGCTGATGCTCCTGAACTATTGGCGTCACTGTGTCAATCAGCAATTTCTTTAGCTCTCCTGTCAGCATAGCTCCACTTGTGTAATCCTACAACATTTAAAAAAACCATTATAGACCCTATGGTATAGTTAAACTTCTTTAATTTGAATTTTTCTCTCACACCCTTTTGTTATTATATGCTGTCAAAATACGGATAACGTGGGTAGATAAAAAATAATGTTGGATGGTTAAAATCTTGTTGAACTAGAAACTAGTTTTAAAGAAACATGATTGCCTATTTATATATAGATAGCATGTTTTTAACATTTATAGATAAAAAGTACATTAAAACAGCCTAATTTGCTTATTTTTAATCTATTTTAGGTACACTATTATTATCTTTTATGGCAATTGCAGTAGAATAGAGGAAATTTTAATCTTACAAAAGAAGTTTGTTTAGAATAATGTCTTGTGCACCCCTACCGGGACACTGTAAGCCCCTCATATTCATACAGCTACAAATTCCAACAGTAATTAACATTTTTATGTATTTGACTTTGTATTATATAAATCATAAAAATTCCAACTCAATCAAACAAAATGCTCATGTTCATAATACTATAAATAAAACAGTTGCTATCATTGATCTTTTTAGATTGTCTAAAACTCTTGAAAGCCATATTGTAATTTCTCTAAAAATATACAACAAGCTAATGCATGTAATACCAAAATATCCTGAAAATACTTTTAAAACTAAATTCAACAAATGGCTATGGGACAACCCCTTTTATTCTTTTAAAGAATATAATTGTTCATATGCCTTGTATTAATTTTTAAGTAATGTAAACAAATTGATTGAAGACACTGGTAGATTTAGTTCCTGTAGTTATAGTATTTCCACTATTCTGTTTTAATCACACATTGCCAATATTTCATGTTGACTATGTCAATCTCTGATTGTATTTTATAACTTTGTCAATGCTAATTGTTTTACAACAATAAAAAGATTATTATAACAGGATCCATGAGTAGAAATGCATAACCTGGTCATACCTTCTACTAGGTACCCTACTCTCTGACCACCCTTAACCTCAATGATGTTGTTTTGGCATTGGTCTTTTGCCTGCTGACCCAGCTGTTTACTTGCCATTCCTTGTTTTGTACAGTACTGTCACTTAGTTGATTACTCAATGTGAACCTCCACACAATTTATTTAGCCCTGTTGTAATTTTTGCTGTTTAGATTTTTTTTGTAAGTTAAGACATTATTTATGTTTCTAGAATTTAGAATTTAAGCCAAACCAACCTTTGACTTTAGATTACTAAATAGCAGGGATACAATAAAACCTTCATTCACTGAATATGTGTTTTTAGCACAGTTGTGCAATCAATAATGTGAGTTTCAATTTTCAAATCCTTTGTTTAAAAAAAACTTATATGAATCGAAATGTTGATACAGTAGAACCCCGGTTAACCGAAATAAAGGGAGGAGAGCCGTTTTGGATTACCAACTTTTCGGTTAACCGCTAAAAATCCGGTTATATGCTAAAAATAGCCTATGTATTACCACGGTGAATTGGAAAATAAATATAAAACAATATCTATATAGGCTAATACAGTATTTTATTTTAGCTACAGAAATGTTACAATGGGTTATAAAATACTTTAAACTAAACAACTGAAGTTACTAAAGCGTTGGTATTACTTATATTTTAGCCCTGTATTATTTTATGGAACCGTTTTGGTTAACCCGGGTTTCAGTTAACCCAAATTCGGTTAACCGGGGTTCTACTGTTGTTAAAATTATAACTGGTTCTTTTCCGAACAAATTATTTAATTTTGATGCTACAACGTTTAAATGTCAAAAATGTCAAACAATTCCCTCAACAATTAAAAAGGGTTTAAAAAGGGATATATAGATATTTCAGATATATAGATATTTCAGATATATAGATATACAGATTGACAGTTAATATATAACAAGCACAGTGTACAATTATAGTAATGGATAAAATTAAACTACAACCTATGCTAATTACCTGCTTGATCTGTTTGAGTTTTTCATCATCTTCTAAGAAGAACTTGAGGTATTGGTAGGAGATGTCAACATTACAGTCACCTCCTTTCTCCCTGTGTTCCTCCACTGTGGCCTGGCCTCCAGAGAATGCATGCTTGTTCACCTATCAGGATTACACAAGCTTCTGATGAGTAAATCACTATAGTTTATGCTGTTTCCAATGCTTACAGGGACATGTTTTTTCTTATTTTTATTTTGTTTGAAAAAAATAATATTCATCACTAGGGTGTGAGTGATTTTTTTTATCTGAGTTCAATGTAAAATGAGCGAGGGCTGAAAAGATTCTCGTTGCCCGTGTGATGAACTATATATTTTGTTGTGGTGTGAGTAGAATCCGGATTGCGAATAATAACATGATAGTGGTTTAAATACCTTATTCTTGCAATCCGATTGTTGTCTTCACAACTAGTTTCAACCTGCTAGGAGGTCATCATCAGGTGTGTACAAGGATGATATTACTTCATATGAAGGTCGTCAGTAACAGTTTTTTACATTCACACAAACACACGACGAATAAACACATAGTGCGCACACATATACGGCCGATAAAAAGTAATCTCGACGCAACTTCCGCATTCTCAACACGGGTCCGCTTGTCGAGTTCGATGTTTTTATCGGCCGTATATGTGTGCGCACTATGTGTTTATTCGTCGTGTGTTTGTGTGAATGTAAAAAACTGTTACTGACGACCTTCAAATGAAGTAATATCATCCTTGTACACACCTGATGATGACCTCCTAGCAGGTTGAAACTAGTTGTGAAGACAACAATTGGATTGCAAGAATAAGGTATTTAAACCACTATCATATATATTTTGTGATGATGCAACATTAATTAACAAACTAAGTTAGAAAAAGTAACTACTATTCAATGTAGGCCTAAAGATAATGCCTCAAAATGACTCCCAGCTTGTTTTAAATTTTTGCTTATGCAAATAAGCAGCTGTTTAATAAGTGAATCGATAATGTTTCTATTATGATTGTGTTCTTGCAGCTTTTATGAGAGCTATCCAGAAAGTAGATTAGGTTTTCGTCTGTGTCTGCAAGGGGCGGAACCAACGAGACAAATCAAATCAAATCAAATCATCTTTATTCAAACTGTACATACATACATGAATAGAGTCACAGAAATAAGAACTAACAAGTACATTATGTTTCTTATTTTAACATTATTTTATTTACATACATTGCTAAATCTATGCAATACAATCCTTTATTAATGCTGTGTATTTATGAATGTAGTTAAAACATTTTTTACTCTTTTGGTTAGTTAGTCCTACATAACAAAAGGCTAAAGACAAATTTATTAAATACGCTCACCAGTCACTTGATCTTGCAATTTGTATTTTTTTCTTCTTTATCATTGAAATCGTTTTTGTAAATATATACCTACAACCAGCTCTAGTTTGCTGGTAGCAAATAAGCTTGATTATAGGATGGATTAATAGAGCTATAAAAAGAAATCTATAGAATAACAAGTTTTATCTTGGAGATATTTTCCTACTAATTTCCTAAATCCCTTTGTGTGTATATTAGTTTTCAGATTTGATGGTAATTTATTAAGAAATTTACATCCGATTTGTGTTGCTTTCTTTGAGAAAAAAGTGAGGTTATGCCGGGGTATATCTATTTGATCTCTGTTTCTTGTGTTATATACGTGTATATCTTTGCGAAACACATACTTATGAATGTTATTTTTGGCAGAGATAATGCATTCTAAAATATACTGGTCATAGACAGTTAGTATATCTAATTGTGAAAAGTAGTTTCTTACAGATGTTTTAGGTTCCAGGTTTAACATTATTCGCAAAGCCTTTTTTTGAAGTTTTAGTATTTTATCTAGGTTTTGTGCACTAGTGCCCCCATAGATTGCTAGAGCATATGACAGATGTGAGTGTATATGAGCAAAATAAATACATTTTAGTGTTTCTAGATTACATAAAAATAACATTCTTTTTAAGGCGTATAATCCTGAAGAAATCTTTTTTACTAAATGAAGAACATGAAGATCCCAATTCAAATGGTTATCCACAATTAAACCTAAGAATTTTGTGAATTTTATTGTCTCTACTTGACTTTGCTCTATTGATATGGACAATTCCGGATTGTCTTTATTTTGCACTGTTGAGAAGAACATTTTATTTGTTTTTCCATGATTAAAAAATAAACTGTTTTCTGAAAAATAGGATTGAAAACATTTTAATTGTTCATTACACACAATTTCAAGATCATTATAAGATTTAGATGATGTTATTAAATTTGAATCGTCAGCATACAGAACTAACTTGCTATTGCTACCATTAAAGCTTTTTAATATAGAGGGCATTCCTTGCACATAGCACAAGAATAACAAAGGCCCAAGAATAGAGCCTTGTGGAACTCCATGTTTGATGTTTATCATTTTTGAGTTATGTTTTAAGATTTTACCAGTTGTTTCAGACACAATCTCAACATACTGTCTTCTATTAGAGAGATATGATTCAAACCAATCTATATAACGATTTGTTATACCCAGATTTTGCAATTTATTTAAAAGTATTTTGTGTGATATACTGTCGAAAGCTTTTGTAAGGTCCATAAAAATACCAACTACTTTGTTTCCTTTATCAACTGCGTCAATTATAGTGTCTGTAAAATCCATTAAAGCAGTAGTTATGGACTTGCCTTTTCGAAAACCATGTTGCTCATCATCAAAGAAATCGTTATTTACTAAATGATCCACAACACGGTTGTACATTACTCTTTCATATATTTTAGATATGGAAGTCAACAAGGACACAGGTCGATAATTTTTTACCTCAGTTTTTTCCCCTGTCTTGAAAATTGGAATAACTTTAGCAATTTTTAAACTGTCAGGAAAAACTCCAGTTATTAAAGAGCAGTTAATTATGTGTACAATAGGTTTTAAAATAGATTTTCTGACATATTTAATTAATTTTAGTGGAACCTCGTCATGACCACAAGATAGTTTATTTTAAAAGCTAAAATTATTTTACTTATTTCATTTTCATTTACTGGGCTACAACGAAATGCCTTTGTTATTGCATTTTTGGGTAGGTTAGTTCCTGTAGCTGAGTGTGAATTTAATGCTGTTTTTTGTATCAATGTTTCAATGGCTCCAATAAAATGATTATTTAAAGTGTTTGAGATGGTTAAGGGATCATTTCAAAACAGTGATTGAACTATTAGACTTATTTGCATTTATTCCTGTTTCCTTATTTATTATTTCCCAAGTTTTCTTAGAAATATTGTCAGAGTTTTTAATTTTTCCATCATAAAAGCTTTTCTTCTGTCTTATTAACTTATTTTTATAATCTTTGCTTCTCTGCTTACAAATATGTAGAAGCTCATTATCACCTGTACATCTGGCTTGTTTTTTTAATTCCGCTATTTCATTTTTTTCATGTATCAGATTTGAATCCATCCAGTCATTTTTGTTGTTTGAAAACCTTTTTACACGCTTTTTAGGGAAAACTAAATTAAAATTATATTGAAATATGTTGTCAAACACTGTAAACTTATCTTCTACATTAGCGATATACAAAGGTAACCAGTTTTCATTATGCAACAACGTGTTAAAAACATTCATATTCCTTTCTGAGAAATCTCTCCTCTCAATATACTTAAAATTAATTTTTAACTTATGGTCTACGGGCACATTTACTTCTAAAACCTGGCCATCATGATCGGAAAGAGCAGTTATTATTCCTGTTACATTTGTTTGAGATTTATCTAAGTTAGTAATAAAATTATCTATCGCAGTTGCTGAATTGGGAGTTATTCTAGTAGGAAAATCAACCAAATAATGAAAGCCATTCGCATAAAGAATATTTTTAAAATCTTTAACCTCTGCTTTTGAACTCAAAACATCAAAATTAAAATCTCCAGCTACTATAAAGTTGGTTTCATCCTTCAAATCAAGTAAAATTTCTAATAGCCTATCTAATCTAGATAGAAATTCAACATTTTGCATTTGAGGTTTTCTATAAATTCCTACAAGTACAAATTTAAAATTGTTCACCTTATATTTTGCTATACAACATTCAAAAAGTTTATCCTCTGTCAAATCATCTATTTTTTGTAAGTTCAATGATTTAGCTTTCAAACCCACCTCTGACAATATCACCACTCCTCCCCCAGATGTGGTTGTTCGACTGTATTCTGAAGTTACTGAAAATTTGTTTAAATTAAATCTCTCCATTTCACATTTTGTCATATTATGTTCAGTTAATACTATTATATTAGGTTTAATTTCTTCTAGAACGATCTCTAAAGATTCCTTTCGGGAATCCAAATGTTGAATATTTTGGTGAAAGATTTGTAAAAGATTTGAGAATTTAGAATTTTTTTCAGATGAATTTTAATTTTTAGACCTATTATGAATTTTTGAGCTCAGGTCAGATTGATGACATTGGTCAGTTGTGAGTTTAAATTACATGATTGGGTCTGGTGAGGTTTTTCCGACTGACTATTACTATTGCTGTTGTTATCAAAAATACCCTTATTCAAACTATTATTATGGTTTTTTTCTAAGTTAGAGCTATTTACAGACATTTCTTTCAAAGCTTCCCCCTCCTGCGCACATGACACTGGACTGACCATGATTTTATCACCACACACATTATTACACGGCAGGTTACTCTTGGCAATGTTTGAGAAGATGTCTCGCAGGTGATGTATGAAGTCTGGGTGGGACAGGCCTCCTCGCAGTTTTCTGCTGGAACGTTCATCGCATGTGACTATTTGAATGACTACTCCTGTGATCTGCTGAAATTCTTCCAGCTTAGCTGCGAAGTGTTGTACTGGTACCTCATCACGTACACATCCCATTGGGGAGCAAAATAGGTATTTTAGTCCTTTTGTCCTGAAATCTTCACATAAGTCATTGAATGCTAAATCATAGTCTTTTAAGTTTGGTTTGCCGTTGTAAACAGACTTGGTTACCAACCCATATACTGTAGTCCCTCCACTGATTTTCTGGCATGTCAAATGGTTACTCAGGCGGTCGGAAGCTAAAGGTTTCCCAAATTGTTCTTTAAAGGCTTGCGCTACACCTGCACTCATTTGTTTGTTGCAATTTAGATCTGCTGAAATGCAATGACTA